TTGCTTGAAAACCTCATTACAAGTGTAACGATTTTTTTTTCGCTTATATTTAATTTTTTTTTTATTTGTTTGTATAACAACAGTAATATCCATTGTTAATAGGATGATAGGTTGTTGTTGTGGGTTCGTTTGATACACTAACACAACAGTAGTTTGCAACTTAAAACTTTATTTACTATTTACAATATCCACAATGAAATGACAATGATCCATAGTAGAAGAAAACAACTGTTATAGTACAATCAAGAAGCAAAGTAACGTGGTGACATCCTACTACACAGTCACAGGCAAGCACACTCGTTCACCTTGCTGCTCCCCCTTTTATACACAACTTTCTCTCTCCTTACGTCAGTGAACGATTTCACAAAAAAGCATGTAGTAAATACATGACGAGTCGCTTACTTCCGTTGGCCAGGTACTCTACATTTACGCAACTTCATGTCAATTACAATATAGTTATTATACATAATAATTCAGTCTGTTACAGTTTGTTGTTTTTAATTAGTTTGTTTAATTTTAAAATATGGTAGTACTATTTAAATTTTTTATGTTTCTCCGATGTGTAAAGTACTTTAGGCCCCAATATCTCCAATGTGTAAAGTACTTTGGGCCCCAATATCTCCAATGTTTCTCCAATGTTTGAAGTACTTTAGGCCCCAATATCTCCAATGTGTAAAGTACTTTGGGCCCCAATATCTCCAATGTTTCTCCAATGTGTGAAGTACTTTGGGCCCCAACATCTCCAATGTTTCTCCAATGTGTGAAGTACTTTAGGCCCCAACATGTCCAATGTGTGAAGTACTTTGGGCCCCAACATCTCCAATGTTTCTCCAATGTGTGAAGTACTTTAGGCCCCAACATGTCCAATGTGTGAAGTACTTTGGGCCCCAACCCCAACATCTCCAATGTTTCTCCAATGTGTGAAGTACTTTAGGCCCCAACATCTCCAATGTTTCTCCAATGTGTGAAGTACTTTAGGCCCCAACATGTCCAATGTGTAAAGTACTTTGGGCCCCAACATCTCCAATGTTTCTCCAATGTGTGAAGTACTTTGGACCCCAATATCTCCAATGTTTCTCCAATGTGTGAAGTACTTTGGGCCCCAACATCTCCAATGTTTCTCCAATGTGTGAAGTACTTTAGGCCCCAACATCTCCAATGTTTCTCCAATGTGTGAAGTACTTTAGGCCCCAACATGTCCAATGTGTAAAGTACTTTGGGCCCCAACATCTCCAATGTTTCTCCAATGTGTGAAGTACTTTGGGCCCCAACATCTCCAATGTTTCTCCAATGTGTGAAGTACTTTAGGCCCCAACATGTCCAATGTGTGAAGTACTTTGGGCCCCAACCCCAACATCTCCAATGTTTCTCCAATGTGTGAAGTACTTTAGGCCCCAACATCTCCAATGTTTCTCCAATGTGTGAAGTACTTTAGGCCCCAACATGTCCAATGTGTGAAGTACTTTGGGCCCCAACCCCAACATCTCCAATGTTTCTCCAATGTGTGAAGTACTTTAGGCCCCAACATCTCCAATGTTTCTCCAATGTGTGAAGTACTTTGGACCCCAATATCTCCAATGTTTCTCCAATGTGTGAAGTACTTTGGGCCCCAATATCTCCAATGTTTCTCCAATGTGTGAAGTACTTTGGGCCAGAATATCTCCAATGTTTCTCCAATGTGTGAAGTACTTTGGGCCCCAACATCTCCAATGTTTCTCCAATGTGTGAAGTACTTTGGGCCAGAATATTTCCAATGTGTGAAGTACTTTGGGCCCCAACATGTCCAATATGTGAAGTACTTTGGGCCCCAACATGTCCAATATGTGAAGTACTTTAGGCCCCAATATCTCCAATGTTTCTCCAATGTGTGAAGTACTTTAGGCCCCTATATCTCCAATGTGTGAAGTACTTTGGGCCCCAATATCTCCAATGTTTCTCCAATGTGTGAAGTACTTTGGACCCCAATATCTCCAATGTTTCTCCAATGTGTGAAGTACTTTAGGCCCCAACATCTCCAATGTTTCTCCAATGTGTGAAGTACTTTAGGCCCCAACATGTCCAATGTGTGAAGTACTTTGGGCCCCAACCCCAACATCTCCAATGTTTCTCCAATGTGTGAAGTACTTTAGGCCCCAACATCTCCAATGTTTCTCCAATGTGTGAAGTACTTTAGGCCCCAACATGTCCAATGTGTAAAGTACTTTGGGCCCCAACATCTCCAATGTTTCTCCAATGTGTGAAGTACTTTGGACCCCAATATCTCCAATGTTTCTCCAATGTGTGAAGTACTTTGGGCCCCAACATCTCCAATGTTTCTCCAATGTGTGAAGTACTTTAGGCCCCAACATCTCCAATGTTTCTCCAATGTGTGAAGTACTTTAGGCCCCAACATGTCCAATGTGTAAAGTACTTTGGGCCCCAACATCTCCAATGTTTCTCCAATGTGTGAAGTACTTTGGGCCCCAACATCTCCAATGTTTCTCCAATGTGTGAAGTACTTTAGGCCCCAACATGTCCAATGTGTGAAGTACTTTGGGCCCCAACCCCAACATCTCCAATGTTTCTCCAATGTGTGAAGTACTTTAGGCCCCAACATCTCCAATGTTTCTCCAATGTGTGAAGTACTTTAGGCCCCAACATGTCCAATGTGTGAAGTACTTTGGGCCCCAACCCCAACATCTCCAATGTTTCTCCAATGTGTGAAGTACTTTAGGCCCCAACATCTCCAATGTTTCTCCAATGTGTGAAGTACTTTGGACCCCAATATCTCCAATGTTTCTCCAATGTGTGAAGTACTTTGGGCCCCAATATCTCCAATGTTTCTCCAATGTGTGAAGTACTTTGGGCCAGAATATCTCCAATGTTTCTCCAATGTGTGAAGTACTTTGGGCCCCAACATCTCCAATGTTTCTCCAATGTGTGAAGTACTTTGGGCCAGAATATTTCCAATGTGTGAAGTACTTTGGGCCCCAACATGTCCAATATGTGAAGTACTTTGGGCCCCAACATGTCCAATATGTGAAGTACTTTAGGCCCCAATATCTCCAATGTTTCTCCAATGTGTGAAGTACTTTAGGCCCCTATATCTCCAATGTGTGAAGTACTTTGGGCCCCAATATCTCCAATGTTTCTCCAATGTGTGAAGTACTTTGGGCCCCAATATCTCCAATGTTTCTCCAATGTGTGAAGTACTTTAGGCCCCTATATCTCCAATGTGTGAAGTACTTTGGGCCCCAATATCTCCAATGTTTCTCCAATGTGTGAAGTACTTTGGGCCCCAATATCTCCAATGTTTCTCCAATGTGTGAAGTACTTTGGGCCCCAATATCTCCAATGTTTCTCCAATGTGTGAAGTACTTTGGACCCCAATATCTCCAATGTTTCTCCAATGTGTGAAGTACTTTGGGCCCCAATATCTCCAATGTTTCTCCAATGTGTGAAGTACTTTAGGCCCCAACATGTCCAATGTGTGAAGTACTTTGGGCCCCAATATCTCCAATGTTTCTCCAATGTGTGAAGTACTTTGGGCCCCAACATCTCCAATGTTTCTCCAATGTGTGAAGTACTTTGGGCCAGAATATTTTCAATGTGTGAAGTACTTTGGGCCCCAACATGTCCAATATGTGAAGTACTTTGGGCCCCAACATGTCCAATATGTGAAGTACTTTAGGCCCCAATATCTCCAATGTTTCTCCAATGTGTGAAGTACTTTAGGCCCCTATATCTCCAATGTGTGAAGTACTTTGGGCCCCAATATCTCCAATGTTTCTCCAATGTGTGAAGTACTTTGGGCCCCAATATCTCCAATGTTTCTCCAATGTGTGAAGTACTTTAGGCCCCAATATCTCCAATGTTTCTCCAATGTTTGAAGTACTTTAGGCCCCAACATGTCCAATGTGTAAAGTACTTTGGGCCCCAATATCTCCAATGTTTCTCCAATGTGTGAAGTACTTTAGGCCCCAATATCTCCAATGTTTCTCCAATGTTTGAAGTACTTTAGGCCCCAACATGTCCAATGTGTAAAGTACTTTGGGCCCCAATATCTCCAATGTTTCTCCAATGTGTGAAGTACTTTAGGCCCCAACATGTCCAATGTGTAAAGTACTTTGGGCCCCAATATCTCCAATGTTTCTCCAATGTGTAAAGTACTTTGGGCCCCAACATCTCCAATGTTTCTCCAATGTGTGAAGTACTTTAGGCCCCAACATGTCCAATGTGTAAAGTACTTTGGGCCCCAACATCTCTAAAGTTTCTCCAATGTGTAAAGTACTTTGGGTCCCAACATGTCCAATGTGTGAAGTACTTTGGACCCGCTATTCGACGACAACGGAGCTCCAATCTTCTCAGGCCACAGACAAGGCTGTAATTTCGAAAGACAACGGAAACCTTTGTTTGGGACTGTCTACAAGCATTCTTTTACGTAACCATCAACACAAAGATGTACGTCACGATTCTTAAAAATTATTCTATTTGAATTATTTTTATCTACGGATTTTAGACGCTTGAATCCGGCAAGACAACCCCCTTCCCCCCCCCCCTCCTCTCTTCCATGCATTGTGGGGTACAGTGGCAGTGTAGTTCCGCCAATGTTCAGCTGTTGTATATAATCAAGACGCTAGTTTGTGTTGCTAATTATAATCATTATAAATTGGCGTTAATTTTTTTTTGTTATGCAATAAGTTTAAGAGTCGTGGTTAGTGTTTCTTTCAAGTAGCTTTCCGCCACCCCCCCCCCCCCCACCCACCAACAAAATGGAAGAAATATTTAATTTATATAGAGAATTTTTACCACCCCCTCTTCCGGAGTGTTCTGAAAGAAACCCTAGCCGTTATGATCAGAGGCACTTTTATATAATGATATATGCGGGTAGGAGTGAATCAACTTTGCTATATGGATGTTATACAGTAAGTGCTTGATCCCTTCTCAGGCTACTTGAGAATCTCTTGCGCCCAACTCTCTGTGACCCCTCCATGCAAGCTAGCATAAATCGCCGTGTAAAACAAAACAAACTTCTGCAGGCTTGCCGTCTGTTTCTAGGTCAGTGTTCCAGAGAATTCCCTGCAACTTTTACTGTGGGCAAATCAATCTTACACAAGTGGGATTTCTGTGAGAAGGTAAAGATTAAATATTTTACCTTCTGTTGGAATTGTCTTTTGGTAAGAAGATAGGGACAGCACCATCCCTGAAGTAGTTTTTTGGTAAGAAGGTAAGGATAACGTTCTCCCCTCTGTATTAGCATGTTATTGTTGTGATTTTAAAATCTATTTTCGTCAGCACAAACCGTTAGGTCGCCAGCCACACATAGATCTAGCTCTAACTAGTTATACGACCAATGCTTGGACAACCAGCATTAAACTCCTGTACAAATACTTTCATTTCTGTTCGACTGAAGGATATCGTACATATTATGTAACATACAAGGGGTGTAGGCTTTTGTTTATCATTTTGTTAGCTATACGGGATGTGTTGGGATAACGTATGACACTGACACATCTAGGCCTATTGTTTTCTCGAATCTAATTATACAAAACTTTTTTAGCGCAATTTCCATTCTGGAGAATTGCGATTATTAACTCGTCATTTCTGGGAATGGATGAATGAATGAATGGATGGATGGATGTGTGTCCGCAGCTTTAAGTCGTCTTTACCAATCGATTCCTGCCATAATTTAGAGCAATATTGCCGAAGAAAGTTTTCAAAAATATCCTTTCGTTCGGTCACAAATTTTTTTTTAAAAGCGCGACAACTAAACACCCCCTACACGTCCGCATTATTTAAAATTACATTATACATAATGCATTACAGTACTATATAGCAAAGAAGGCAGTGGAAGGCGAAGGAAAGGAGGGTAAATCATGTGACCTGGCTAATGGATAACATAAGGAAATTGCGCTTTAATTGTCACTAGACTTTTTAATAACTTGTTTTCCTTTGCCCCAATATAAGATGTAACCAGCTATATTTTGTAAAATGATTTTCCATTGTTGTGTCGTTTTCGGTATGGAAGCTGTGATACACATAGTATATGATGGGTGCTGGGTTATGTAAATATGATATGCGATGGGAATGGATACAAATAATATATTGTTGTGACACGGAATATCTACACAATCTCTCGCATTGTTCCGTTTCACATGCAAACGTTTTGGATGGAGCCCGTACGCCCGAGGGGGGGGGGGGGAATGCTAAGATATAGAGATATAGATGAGAGCTTAGGGGCTCAACTGGGGGGGGGGGGGCGCTGAGATATAGATGATGGCGTGGGTGCTCAAATAGGCTCTTTTGCTACATTTGTAGTGGGACAGGGGAGGGCGAAGGACTAAAATTAAATATTACAACAAGAGAATAATATTCTAATAAAACCGACGCACCAATAGCAATATGGGTTTTATATTTTCCCCGGTGAGATTTGAGATTATACTGGTAAACTTCGCAATTTTAATTAATTTTTTTTAATACGTCACCCAAACACGTGCAAACATGCTCGCACGTTCACATACTGACACGCACGCACTCACGCGTACATACCCGCATAATATACACACACGCGCGCGCCCACAAGCCCCCCCCCCCTACACACACACACAAAGAAACACATTTTTGGGATGACAAATCAATCTTGAAATTATTTTTAGCAGCAGCCGTAACCCTGTTCATAACTGGTGGGCCAGCTTAGGCAAGTTAACCAGTTACATTTTTAAAAAGCAGAGGTTTCAATAACTGAGTGATCTATGACTTTAAGAGGCCTAAAGACATGGGCCAATATTTCAAGTTTATTTTAGAAAGTATTTAATTATTTTTTTCATTCGATGATTATTAGCAGTTAAACCGTACCCCCCTTCTCACCACACACATCGCCTCTGTGTGGGGCGTCTCCCTAACACGTGAACACATTGTAACTCATACATTGATTCTAACGTCTGCTGCCTACTCTAAAAATAGCTATTTAAACGGTGCGTTCGCATTCATATCATAGGAATGCTGTGGGGAAGCGTCCTAGACCTTTCTTTGTAAGCTAGTTTTATACAGTGTTTGTTCCAGGCATATCTCGGGGGGGGGGGGTGTGTGGAGGGGGTGGAGCCCCTCTGAAGAAAGTCTACCTTCCCCCCCCCCCCCCCCCCCCGAACGAAATGGACATTTATATCGAAAATATATACTTTTACCAGTGTCCGCCCCAAATATCAAGTGCCCCCCCCCCTACCCCGGAGAAAAAAGCCTGGAAGAAACGCTGGTTTTATGCGACTTTTTGTAAGAAGGTTTTTTTTTCGTTCACAGCACCGTGGATATGGAGCTGACCACGCTACTGATTGGCATTGGGGTCATACTGGTCATTTTCTGGCTCTTTCGACGTCCGAGCAGGAACCTACCACCCTGCCCTAGCCGCCCCCTACCCATCGTTGGCAACATCTTTTCCCTTGAGGCTGACCCGAGGCCGCAGTTCAAGAAATGGCACAAAGAACTAGGGGACATTTTCTGGTGAGTTTAACCTTTAACCTCACAGCATGTATATAACTGGGTTTTTCAGTAGCCAGTCAACACTAGTAGATTCTAAGTTAAGCTAGGTTATGGGCGGCCACGGCTAAGCTCGAGTATCTCTGGTAGAGGTAGAACATTCAGCAAATTTTATATATATATATATATATATATATATATATATATATATATATATATATATATATATATATATATATGCGTGTGTGTGTGAGTAGTATATCAGGTCACATTTGGGTAGTATTTCTGGGGGAGCAAGCGCAGCCTGGAGCAATGACATATAGTAAAATACTCCCCCACCGGGTGGAGGGGGAGGGGCAGGGGAGCTTTTTTACAGTAAGTATGTTTAGAGTTAGATCCCGGCGTTTCACCAACTGTTACCAAAACATCTTGTCAGGCAATTAGCCAGTTGTGATTAGCCTATTGTGATCGATGGTGGTTTTATAGTCATTCACTGAATCAATGTTCTTGGTTCCCATTATAGCAGTGGTCAAACCCATTAACTGGGGGGGGGGGGTAGGGGCAAAGGGACAGGTGTTACCAAAAATCAATACTTGTTGTAATTACTAGACCGTAACCGCGCAGCGCTAGTGGTTTTTATGTGCTGGCAAACATTAACATCGCGCGAACCGCGCCAGCTGTTCTTTGTGATCAGCTGTTTCACTATAATTAGCGCGCCATCTGTACTATAGTGGCCAGCTATCTCATTAAATCTATAATTAACTTTGCGACCATGGTTGAGTCGATCGATACACCTGACAACAGGTGTTAGATACATTATTTGTAGGTACGTTTATTTTATTCACATGAAAATATTTTGTCTTAGTTACACCCTTTGTACATCATATAGTTTAGTAGAATGTTTTTTTTTATTACTTGCTTGTTAGTTATATGTACGTTTATTTATTTACATAGGTGAGTCTATATTGTAATTACGACGTTTTCGCTGTTTTTTCATTTTTTCACCATCTGTTAACTTTAAGGTTGTATAGCTCCATCATGTTGTCTACCACTTTAAAATGTATATATTTAAATACATTTTTGTTTATATTTTTATAATTTTCTAAAAAATATTAATATAGAAGATAAATAAATAAGATAAACACATTTTACTATATTTCATTGTCCCAGGAAGGCCCGGGTGAACAGGAGTATTTTACTATATAGCATGTCTCCTCTGAGACTCCTCTCCCCTGCGGCTCCTCCATATTTTACTATATAGCATGTCTCCCCCTGCGGCTCCTCCATATTTTACTATATAGCATGTCTCCCCCTGCGGCTCCTCCATATTTTACTATATAGCATGTCTCCCCCTGCGGCTCCTCCATATTTTACTATATAGCATGTCTCCCCCTGCGGCTCCTCCATATTTTACTATATAGCATGTCTCCCCCTGCGGCTCCTCCATATTTTACTATATAGCATGTCTCCTCTCCCCCTGCGGCTCCTCCATATTTTACTATATAGCATGTCTCCTCTCCCCCTGCGGCTCCTCCATATTTTACTATATAGCATGTCTCCCCCTGCGGCTCCTCCATATTTTACTATATAGCATGTCTCCCCCTGCGGCTCCTCCATATTTTACTATATAGCATGTCTCCTCTCCCCTGCGGCTCCTCCATATTTTACTATATAGCATGTCTCCTCTCCCCCTGCGGCTCCTCCATATTTTACTATATAGCATGTCTCCCCCTGCGGCTCCTCCATATTTTACTATATAGCATGTCTCCCCCTGCGGCTCCTCCATATTTTACTATATAGCATGTCTCCCCCTGCGGCTCCTCCATATTTTACTATATAGCATGTCTCCCCCTGCGGCTCCTCCATATTTTACTATATAGCATGTCTCCCCCTGCGGCTCCTCCATATTTTACTATATAGCATGTCGCCTCTTCCCCTGCGGCTCCTCCATATTTTACTATATAGCATGTCTCCCCCTGCGGCTCCTCCATATTTTACTATATAGCATGTCTCCCCCTGCGGCTCCTCCATATTTTACTATATAGCATGTCTCCCCCTGCGGCTCCTCCATATTTTACTATATAGCATGTCGCCTCTTCCCCTGCGGCTCCTCCATATTTTACTATATAGCATGTCTCCCCCTGCGGCTCCTCCATATTTTACTATATAGCATGTCTCCCCCTGCGGCTCCTCCATATTTTACTATATAGCATGTCGCCTCTTCCCCTGCGGCTCCTCCATATTTTACTATATAGCATGTCTCCCCCTGCGGCTCCTCCATATTTTACTATATAGCATGTCTCCCCCTGCGGCTCCTCCATATTTTACTATATAGCATGTCGCCTCTTCCCCTGCGGCTCCTCCATATTTTACTATATAGCATGTCTCCCCCTGCGGCTCCTCCATATTTTACTATATAGCATGTCTCCCCCTGCGGCTCCTCCATATTTTACTATATAGCATGTCGCCTCTTCCCCTGCGGCTCCTCCATATTTTACTATATAGCATGTCTCCCCCTGCGGCTCCTCCATATTTTACTATATAGCATGTCTCCCCCTGCGGCTCCTCCATATTTTACTATATAGCATGTCGCCTCTTCCCCTGCGGCTCCTCCATATTTTACTATATAGCATGTCTCCCCCTGCGGCTCCTCCATATTTTACTATATAGCATGTCTCCCCCTGCGGCTCCTCCATATTTTACTATATAGCATGTCTCCCCCTGCGGCTCCTCCATATTTTACTATATAGCATGTCGCCTCTTCCCCTGCGGCTCCTCCATATTTTACTATATAGCATGTCTCCCCCTGCGGCTCCTCCATATTTTACTATATAGCATGTCTCCCCCTGCGGCTCCTCCATATTTTACTATATAGCATGTCTCCCCCTGCGGCTCCTCCATATTTTACTATATAGCATGTCTCCCCCTGCGGCTCCTCCATATTTTACTATATAGCATGTCTCCCCCTGCGGCTCCTCCATATTTTACTATATAGCATGTCTCCCCCTGCGGCTCCTCCATATTTTACTATATAGCATGTCTCCCCCTGCGGCTCCTCCATATTTTACTATATAGCATGTCTCCCCCTGCGGCTCCTCCATATTTTACTATATAGCATGTCTCCCCCTGCGGCTCCTCCATATTTTACTATATAGCATGTCTCCCCCTGCGGCTCCTCCATATTTTACTATATAGCATGTCGCCTCTTCCCCTGCGGCTCCTCCATATTTTACTATATAGCATGTCTCCCCCTGCGGCTCCTCCATATTTTACTATATAGCATGTCTCCCCCTGCGGCTCCTCCATATTTTACTATATAGCATGTCGCCTCTTCCCCTGCGGCTCCTCCATATTTTACTATATAGCATGTCTCCCCCTGCGGCTCCTCCATATTTTACTATATAGCATGTCTCCCCCTGCGGCTCCTCCATATTTTACTATATAGCATGTCGCCTCTTCCCCTGCGGCTCCTCCATATTTTACTATATAGCATGTCTCCCCCTGCGGCTCCTCCATATTTTACTATATAGCATGTCTCCCCCTGCGGCTCCTCCATATTTTACTATATAGCATGTCGCCTCTTCCCCTGCGGCTCCTCCATATTTTACTATATAGCATGTCTCCCCCTGCGGCTCCTCCATATTTTACTATATAGCATGTCTCCCCCTGCGGCTCCTCCATATTTTACTATATAGCATGTCTCCCCCTGCGGCTCCTCCATATTTTACTATATAGCATGTCTCCCCCTGCGGCTCCTCCATATTTTACTATATAGCATGTCTCCCCCTGCGGCTCCTCCATATTTTACTATATAGCATGTCTCCCCCTGCGGCTCCTCCATATTTTACTATATAGCATGTCTCCCCCTGCGGCTCCTCCATATTTTACTATATAGCATGTCTCCCCCTGCGGCTCCTCCATATTTTACTATATAGCATGTCTCCCCCTGCGGCTCCTCCATATTTTACTATATAGCATGTCTCCCCCTCGGCTCCTCCATATTTTACTATATAGCATGTCTCCTCTCCCCTGCGGCTCCTCCATATTTTACTATATAGCATGTCTCCCCCTGCGGCTCCTCCATATTTTACTATATAGCATGTCTCCCCCTGCGGCTCCTCCATATTTTACTATATAGCATGTCTCCCCCTGCGGCTCCTCCATATTTTACTATATAGCATGTCTCCTCTCCCCTGCGGCTCCTCCATATTTTACTATATAGCATGTCTCCCCCTGCGGCTCCTCCATATTTTACTATATAGCATGTCGCCTCTTCCCCTGCGGCTCCTCCATATTTTACTATATAGCATGTCTCCCCCTGCGGCTCCTCCATATTTTACTATATAGCATGTCTCCTCTCCCCTGCGGCTCCTCCATATTTTACTATATAGCATGTCTCCCCCTGCGGCTCCTCCATATTTTACTATATAGCATGTCTCCCCCTGCGGCTCCTCCATATTTTACTATATAGCATGTCTCCCCCTGCGGCTCCTCCATATTTTACTATATAGCATGTCGCCTCTTCCCCTGCGGCTCCTCCATATTTTACTATATAGCATGTCTCCCCCTGCGGCTCCTCCATATTTTACTATATAGCATGTCTCCTCTCCCCTGCGGCTCCTCCATATTTTACTATATAGCATGTCTCCCCCTGCGGCTCCTCCATATTTTACTATATAGCATGTCTCCCCCTGCGGCTCCTCCATATTTTACTATATAGCATGTCTCCCCCTGCGGCTCCTCCATATTTTACTATATAGCATGTCGCCTCTTCCCCTGCGGCTCCTCCATATTTTACTATATAGCATGTCTCCCCCTGCGGCTCCTCCATATTTTACTATATAGCATGTCTCCCCCTGCGGCTCCTCCATATTTTACTATATAGCATGTCGCCTCTTCCCCTGCGGCTCCTCCATATTTTACTATATAGCATGTCTCCCCCTGCGGCTCCTCCATATTTTACTATATAGCATGTCTCCCCCTGCGGCTCCTCCATATTTTACTATATAGCATGTCTCCTCTCCCCTGCGGCTCCTCCATATTTTACTATATAGCATGTCTCCCCCTCGGCTCCTCCATATTTTACTATATAGCATGTCTCCCCCTGCGGCTCCTCCATATTTTACTATATAGCATGGCTCCCCCTGCGGCTCCTCCATATTTTACTATATAGCATGTCTCCCCCTGCGGCTCCTCCATATTTTACTATATAGCATGTCTCCCCCTGCGGCTCCTCCATATTTTACTATATAGCATGTCTCCCCCTGCGGCTCCTCCATATTTTACTATATAGCATGTCTCCCCCTGCGGCTCCTCCATATTTTACTATATAGCATGTCTCCCCCTGCGGCTCCTCCATATTTTACTATATAGCATGTCGCCTCTTCCCCTGCGGCTCCTCCATATTTTACTATATAGCATGTCTCCCCCTGCGGCTCCTCCATATTTTACTATATAGCATGTCTCCCCCTGCGGCTCCTCCATATTTTACTATATAGCATGTCTCCCCCTGCGGCTCCTCCATATTTTACTATATAGCATGTCTCCTCTCCCCTGCGGCTCCTCCATATTTTACTATATAGCATGTCTCCCCCTGCGGCTCCTCCATATTTTACTATATAGCATGTCTCCCCCTGCGGCTCCTCCATATTTTACTATATAGCATGTCTCCCCCTGCGGCTCCTCCATATTTTACTATATAGCATGTCTCCCCCTGCGGCTCCTCCATATTTTACTATATAGCATGTCGCCTCTTCCCCTGCGGCTCCTCCATATTTTACTATATAGCATGTCTCCTCTCCCCTGCGGCTCCTCCATATTTTACTATATAGCATGTCTCCTCCGCCAGGCTGGGCGAGGGGTATTTTCCTATATAACATGTCTCCTCAAATAATAATCAAAAGGGACCTGATAAATTACTCCTGTCCTCACCTGGCCAACAAAACAATTATACTATATTCAGTTCGATTCCCTTTGATGTAATGTTACTAAACCTCCCTACGTTGGACGTTCTAGAAAACTCTTTTCTTCTCCCCCAGCCTCCACATGGGCGGCACCCTGTTTGTCGTGCTGAATGGGTTCCCGCTCAACAAGGAGGTGCTGGTGAAGCGAGCAGACGAGTTCTCTGACAGGCCCTGGTTCTACTTTGACCTGGTGACGTCATTGTTTATCTTGTGATACAAACTGTCTAGTCAGCAGTTCTGTCCTGGTCCTGACCTCTCGTGTCAGATAATTTAGGGCTGAATCTAAATGCCGTATGTAGAAACAAAATTTAGGGCTCAATCTAAATGCCGTATGTAGAAACAAAATTTAGGGCTCAGTCTAAATGCCGTATGTAGAAACAAAATTTAGGGCTCAATCTAAATGCCGTATGTAGAAATAAAATTAGGTGACTCGGAGTGTTCACTGTATTGTTCATTAAACTACATTGACTAAATTAGGAGTTGTTATTCACGGGAGGGAGGTAGTGAATTTTAAAACTTGTTTGGGGGAGGGGGGGGGGGGCTCGCTTTTTATGACGTGTGGCAATAGGCAGGGGAGGTAAAAATTGGCTGTTATTGCGTGATGTGATGTGTGGACGTCACTTAACTTGAGTGCTAGATCTTATCTCTCACCCGCAATATACACGGTGGACAACAAACGCAGCATCGATGTGTATCTAGATTCTACCCTACATCGCAAATATCAGGTTACCGTTGGTATTATAGGAGGGGAGGGGGATTCTTGGGTGTAGTAGCTTAAAATACATCAACTGCAGCACGGGTTAAAGAGTTCAAATAGAAATCTGTGTTGAGCTGTTTGTTGACTGTTGTCATACATGTTTTCTCTAAAAGTATGAGTTCAGCTGTTCATTGAATGATCTCATGCATTAGTTTTATCTAAAAGTATGTGTTCAGCTATTAATCGACTATTGTCATAAATTAGTTTTCTCTAAAAGTATGTGTTCAGCTGTTTATTGACTGTTGTCATTCGTGGAGTTTTCTCTAAAAGTATGTGTTCAGCTGTTTATTAACTGTTGTCATACATTAGTTTTCTCTAAATGTATGTTCAGCTGTTTATTGACTGTTGTCATACATGAAGTTTTCTCTAAAACCAGGTCACCGACAGTCCAGGGAAAGGCATCTCGTTTGGCAACGGCAAGAACTGGAAGGAACAAAGATCCGTGACTTTATCCATCCTCCGGGATTTCGGGATGGGGAAAAATGTCTTGGCGGAAAAAATCCAGTCCGAGGTAGTGTTTTATATCGACAGCATAAACCGTCTAGACGGCCAAGCCACTGACATGAGACCACTCACCAACATGAGTATGGCGAACATGATCTGCGCTTTCATCGTTGGCGAGAGGTTTGACTACGAGGACGCTACATTCAAAGACTTGACCTTGAAGTTCCGAGACTTGGTGGAAGACCTCACGACAAACAGCCTCATTAATTATTTCCCGATCCTCGGAAAATTGCCAGGAGATTTGTTTGGGGCCAAGAGGATAGCGAGCAGCATGCGGCACTTGGTGAGATTCTTTAAGAAAGAGTTCATCACCAAACACAACCACGACGAGTCCAGCAACTTCGTGGCCGCCTACTTGTCCCAGCGAGACAAGAAGCTGAAGGACGGCGAGGAGACAGAAATGGACGAGGACAATTTGGTTAAAATCGTCCTGGAGCTTTTCTTCAGTGGAGCTGACACCACGAGTACTTCCATCTTGTGGTGTTATCTCTACGCGTTAAACCACCTAGATGTACAAGAAAAAATATACAAGGAAATAGAAGAAGAAATCGGCACCGATCGAGATCCAACTATGCAAGACAGAACAAAACTTGTTTATCTTAATGCTTTCATTAACGAGGTAGCTAGATTATCCACAATTGCTGCGCATTCGTTTGCGCACACAAACCCGGTAGACGCTGAGATACGAGGCTACACGATTCCTAAAGGAAGTTTTATTATTCCCAACCTGGATTCGATCCACTTTGATAAGACTATTTGGGGGAACGACGTGATGGAGTTTAAGCCCGAGAGATTTATTGACGGCAGCGGGAAGCTGAAGAATCCAGAAGAGCTGGTGCCGTTTGGCATCGGCCGCCGCAACTGTATCGGGGAGTCAATGACCAAGATGATCCAGTTCCTGCTGCTGGCCTCATTGTTCCAGAAGTTTAAGGTGGTGGCTCCCGACCCGGCTGCCCCTCCGCCTATCAAATACTACTTCACAGTCGACGCCGCCCCTGTACCGTTTCAAGTTTGTTTTGTGGACAGAAGAAAAAATTAAGGCCTTACCACGAACTTTGTTTCCAGTAGTTTTGTGGACAGATACCATGAACTTTGTTTCAAGTTTTGTGGACAGATACCGTGAATTTTTTTTTAAGTAGTTTTGTGGACAGATACCATAAACTTTGTTTCAAGTTAGTTTTTTAGACAGGTACCATGAACTTTGTTTCAAGTTTTGTGGACAGATACCATGAACTTTGTTTCAAGTTCGTTTTGTGGACAGATACTATGAACTTTGTTTCAAGTTCGTTTTGTGGACAGATACCATGAACTTTGTTTCAAGTTTTGTGGACAGATACCGTGAATTTTTTTAAGTAGTTTTGTGGACAGATACCATGAACTTTGTTTCAAGTTAGTTTTTTTAGACAGATACCATGAACTTTGTTTCAAGTAGTTTTGTAGACAGATACCATGAACTTTGTTTCAAGTTTTCTGGACAGATACCGTGAAATTTTTTTAAGTAGTTTTGTGGACAGAAACCATGAACTTTGTTTCAAGTTTTGTGGACAGATACCATGAACTTTGTTTCAAGTTTTGTGGACAGATACCATAAACTTTGTTTCAAGTTAGTTTTTTAGACAGATACCATGAACTTTGTTTCAAGTTTTGTGGAAAGATACCATGAACTTTGTTTCAAGTTAGTTTTTTGGACAGATGCCATGAACTTTGTTTCAAGTTAGTTTTGTGGACAGAAAAAAAAGATTGAATTTGTTCATACAGAGCTTGCATGTATAATAATATTATAACAATGATACGGCTTTCTATATTTATATAACAGTATAATATCATTGACATTTTTTAACAATATATATAAGTATACTCCCGATCCCCCCACCCCCACCTCTACTCTTAATGCTAAGGGTTTCAACACACTGACCAGTCTAACACACTGACCAGTCTAACACACTGACCAGTCTAACGCACTGACCAAACGAACACACTGACCAGTCTAACACACTGACCAGTCAAACACACTGACCAGTCGAACACACTGACCAGTTTAACACACTGACCAACCTAACACACTATCCATTTTAACACTCTGAACAATGGTGTCATTTTGTTAATTTCATTATACTATTTATAGTAAACATTTTGTGTACATATAGCTCCAAACATCTTTTCCTCTCTAATGCTACCTGTTTAAATATACAGAAATGAAGAATATTTCAACAGTGGGACTTCAGGTGCAACAAATGAGACTAGGCTATTGTGGGCTACACGAACACATAAACTATCCCTTATTCGATTTCAACCTGTTTCTTTTAGGCATCTATCTGGGGTGTGAACCGCCCCCCCCCCTGAAAGGAAATAAAAAGAATGTTCATAATTTATGTTTATAATGTATCCCTCCCCCTCCTGGAAGTTTCACCAGCCCCCCCCCCCCACCCACCCCCAAAAAAAAGAAACCCCTGCTTCCAAAAAAAAAAAAAAACCCTGCTTGTAAGGGACTACTTTTTCCTATAATTTTTTTTCGCTAGTCTTGTAGATTGCTGTAACATACCATGCGCCATTCGTAGATCTAATAAACAAAAATTGTAAATAAACAGAATGTGGATTGTGCTTTTTGTGTACACAATTCGTCAAGCTAGCTAGCTTTATCAATAGTTTGGCTATACCTCTCGGCGAATTATTTGTAGGCTTAGATTTCTCAACCACGATTTAGATCTTCGTTCACAATTACATTTTTAGGACAGATCCTCAAAATAAGATAGCCAGACATAGAAGGAAAGAGAAGATTAGAAGATTAAGACAGAAATAAGTTAAGGGGATTTAAGCTGATTTATCAGTCTCGCCCACCCACACCTTCCCCCTAGTTGCGTGGAAATACAATTGTAGAGACGGGACCATGGCCGAGTTCATTCCGTGTTAGTTTTTTAAAGTTTAATTTCATTTAATTTTGTTAACGAATTGTTCTTTATTGTTTTTTCCTAAATAAGTTGACGCTTCTAAATTGTATATAACCAGTAGTGAATCTAAACGGCTCAGCCTGAATCAGCAACATTTATCTCTCCTTCATACAGAGGGCTCCAGTGAGGGGAATACCGGTGTTGGGGGGGGGGGGGGAGGGGGGGCAGGGAATACCGGTGTTGGGGGGGGGGAGGGGGGCAGAGGCCTATTGACGGCTAGATCTATTGTACCCAAAAGATTTACGGCGCTCAAGAACGCAGCATCCTACCACCCGGATACAATTGCAGGTTACCCCTGGCGGACCTACACCAGTGGTGTGGTTGATGTGCTACGACTGAAGCGATCCCCTACTGCAGTCTCTACTGGGACTATATTCTGTACCTTTGTCTACCGTTGGCGTTGAAACATTACTTTCATATTGCTATTTCATAGTGAGGGGTGGAAGCAGGCGTTGTGACTGAAATAGCAATGTAAACAGAAAGTGTTATTTCAACGCTATTGCTATTTCAGTAACAACGCCGGTTTCCTTCCCCTCTACAAGCGGACAAATGGAACACTGCATTCACATTTGCCACGTTCTATCTCTTATTTTTTTTATATTGTATAGTACTGATGGTAAACGCGGTGAGGGGTGGGGTTGGGATGGGGGCAGTTGACAATTTATTTAAAGTACAAACTTTTATCTAGAAAGCTATGTTTATTAGAGCTGGCTATCAATCACTCTCTCTCTCTCTCTCTCTCTCTCTCTCTCTCTCTATATATATATATATATATATATATATATATATATATATATATATATATATATATATATGTGTGTGTGTGTGTGTGTGTGTGTAGCAAACTGTTGGACTCCCAATAACCAGGCAGGCCTCAGTGTAGCAAACTGTTGGACTCCCAATAGCCAGGCAGACCTCGGTGTAGCAAACGGTTGGACTCCCAATAGCCAGGCAGACCTCGGTGTAGCAAACTGTTGGACTCCCATTAGCCAGGCAGGCCTCAGGGTATCAAACTGTTGGACTCCCATTAGCCAGGCAGGCCTCAGTGTAGCAAACTCCGACACGTGGTGGTAGTAGCAAGTGTCGGTTTGATCGCTACACGTCGGTCGCTTCTCCGTCGGTTCTCACGGAGCTTTCCTTTCTCCCCCCCCCCCCCCCCACCCACCCACCAGACGCGGGACGTCGTCCTACCGTCTTGATCGTGGGGGGCATTCGGACAGACAAAAGCCTATAGCTGCTGTTAGCTACCACCAGCCATTCCGCACCCACTGGGGAGGGGGGGGTGGACTTGGTCCGATTAATGGCACTCTTCCGAAGCCACGTGAAGGCCGCAGCTTAAAGTCAAAATATCTGGTTAGGGTCGAGAGCAGACCCCGTTTGGTTCCCGGCAGTCTTGCACCTCACCTCCCCCACGCTATAATGTAGGGGACTTGGTAGTCCGACATACCAGGCTCTTCGGAAGTATCAATCACTAGAATGTTCGACACGATGTGTCACACCACCTGACGGGGGTTGGGGGGGGGGAGGGATGGGTAGCGACCGTAAATGGACACCTGTGTTACTCTGCACCGCGTCACAGCGAAGTAGTGACGCCTCTGGAGTTGGTCATCGCGTGCGGACTCACAGCCAACAGATAATCACATCGGACACACAGCTAACAGATAATCACATCGGACACACAGCCAACAGATAATCACATCGGACTCACAGCCAACAGATAATCACATCGGACACACAGCCAACAGATAATCACATCGGACACACAGCCAACAGATAATCACATCGGACACACAGCTAACAGATAATCACATCGGACACACAGCCAACAGATAATCACATCGGACTCACAGCCAACAGATAATCACATCGGACACACAGCCAACAGATAATCACATCGGACACACAGCTAACAGATAATCACATCGGACACACAGCCAACAGATAATCACATCGGACACACAGCTAACAGATAATCACATCGGACACACAGCTAACAGATAATCACATCGGACACACAGCCAACAGATAATCACAACGTCCACATAAATGGATTGGGTGAAACCCAGAGGTGTCGCGAGGCGGGGCGGGGGTGTGGACATTTAGGGGGGTGACACCAAGACACAAAAATGCTAAGATATATAGAATAAATATTTTCTGCCAGTTCATTGAATGGTGAATTAGGGGTCATCCATTAAAGACGTCCACACGCGGGGGGGGGGGGGGGGGTTCGAAAAAAAATTGACTTTTGCGGACGTGTATGGACTTATATAAGGGAACTAAGTGGATATTTGTGGACGGGGGGGGGGGGGGGGTCCAAAATCCCAAAAAATTGTGGACGTCATAAATGGATGATGGGGTATTTTTAGTTATTTAAATATTATTTATTATATTCAAAGAAAATCATTTAATTTCTCCTTTTTGTGCATTATTACATAAAAGCTTGTATTAAAACATTTTTTATGAAATTTGTAGGCCTATATGAATAGTTGTCATTTACATATGATATTAAAACTTAAAAGAACGAATTAAGTTTCCCGTGTTAGTTTACTTCCGGTGGTATAGATTGTTTGTTTACAATTTACATTTGTTCGAGTCTCAACTAAACTAATCAATAGTCATATTCTTATTGAATAATACCAACCCAAGCATTACGATTATTGATATTTAGATCTAGATCTAGATCTAGATCAAGAATGGTCTAGATTCTAGAATATTTTTTTAAAATTAATAAAGTAGACTAAACTCAGTAGGGTAAAGCAGGGCACTTTTGACTTTATTTAACTTTATTAGGTAGGCCTGGCCTAATATTAGCGATACTCATTAACTTATAAATTTCGTTATTTCTCTACTTAAACATTACCAATGAAAACTAAAGATCAATCTTTAATCTATCAAATACTTAATTTGTTGATGATAAATAAATTCTGTAATCTATCGTTTTGGGTACGTAAAATCGCCCGCGACTAGTAATGTGAAAAACAGGTGACTTCTTACATTTTAATAATTATTTCACATTTTGAGGAGGATTTATGTTTTGAAAAATACAAAAATGTTTCCTTGTTTCATTTATGTACCTGGTTTTAAACAATTGAATTAAAACAGTAATAAATGAACACCAGCGATGTTTCCAACAGATGCAACCATGCTCATTTACTATAGCAGACATCTTGTTAGTATTATTTTTATAGACTTATAGCGCGAGATTCAGGCGGAAGTCACTCTATTTTACAAATGGCTGCTGTTTATATAGCAAATCTTGCTTGCAGACACTGCTGTTTAAAGTTAATTTCTGGCCTATATTGATATATTTAGCCATTGATTTAGGTTTATTATTCATTTATCTATAATATTTGACACAAACATATCACAATATACTTCTATTACAGCCTTGACAATGAGGTAACGTTTTCGTACATTAATAGCCACGGGCGATTTTGCGTACCCAAAACGATAGATTACCATAAATTCATTTGGAGCTTAATTACTGATTTTTACTAATTAGTATTAGGTACATAAAATCGCCCGCGACTAGTAATGTGAAAAACAGGTGACTCCTTAAATTTTAATAATTATTTCACATTTTGAGGAGGATTTATCATAATTTATGTTTTGAAAAATACAAAAATGTTCCCTTGTTGTTTCATTTATGTACCTGTTTTTAAACAATTGAATTAAAACTTTTCAGTAATAAATGAAGACTAGGGATGTTTACAACCGATGCAACCATGCTCATTTACTATAGCAGCCATCTTGTTTATTTTTTTGGTAAACTTATAGCGCAAGATTCAGATGGCCGCTTTTTATATAGCAAATCCTGCTCGCAAACACTGCCGTTTAAAGACAATTTGTAGCCAAGATTTTTCTATATTGATATATTTAGCTATTGATTTAGGTTTATTATTCATTTATCTTTAATATTTGACACAATTATATCACAATAGATCTACTTCTATTGAAGCCTTAACATTGACAATGAGGTAACTTTTTTGTACATTACTAGCTGCGGGCAAATTTGCTTTAAAACACTATCAGTAGGTCGTTAAGGACAATAAATCCCCCCCCCCCACCCTCTTTTCCCCCAACCCCTACCCTACACCCCCCCCCCCCCCCAGTGAAAGCAGCCTCCTCTTAGTTACCTCCCCTAAGTTTAAAATCGTTTCAAACTAAATAATCTGCCCCTAATAGCCGTCACTAAACCCCGCTCTACTATTGTAAACATTTAGCATGAAACACACCTTACCAGACCATGTGGGGGTGGGGGTGGTAGGGATATGCCTAGAGAAGAAGAGAGGGGACTGCTAGGCGTACTTACAGCTTGGTGTTTTCTATGGTCTCCATGAAGAGAATTATATATATAGATTATTATTTATTTTTTCATTTGGACTGATAGGCATATGAAATCAAATTACTTTTAACAGAAGGAAAAAAAATAAAACACGCTCTACATTCGCTCGGCTAGAGAAGTTCATACCATAAGCCATATATTATATTATAGACCTAACGACTCCCGCTCGCCATAACATTTGTCAGGAATGATATCAGGTGTTTAAAGCAAGATCTCCAATATCAATTAGCATTAATCCTTAATTGTGATGGAAGCATGGTCGAGTCGGCAAATCTCTTGGTTGATAAATTCGAAAAAAGTCTCGAGTTCAAACCCTCTGGCAGATAAGGCTCGATCTCTCCCAACACTAAAAATTAAGAACGAAGAAGAAAGAAGATTTAGAATTACAAGAAAAAAAATCACAACAACAGAAAATATATATTCTGCATCTTAAAAGAATTATTGTATTACTATACAATACCGGCCGTGGCTATTGGGACCCGGGTCCGAATAGAAGCATCCAAACTAATAATACAAATAAACTAACTAGTTACTGAGTCTGATATTGTTGATACTCTTACTCATGGCATACAGATTTCTGCTATGATTTAGGCCTACAATAACTTTTTACTTTTATATTATTAATTTAAATATTGATTATCTCTTGTATTTTTAGTGTTAGTATAAATAAATTATAAACATTGGACGATATTTTGAGTTGACCCTTTGAATCCCTGGCAAAATGACCCCTCCCTTTGGTCACACCCTGGTGTGACTGTAGCCAACAAACGACTGATCAAATTAATTATTATAAAATTAACTAGGCCTACTAGAAAGAATTGTCAGTCTTCACTTAAGGTCGTTATTGTTATTTTATTCCTTATAAAAGAAACATGCCATCATGACACTGCTTTATAATTATATGATGATAAAAATCCTCTTAATAATAGTCATAGGTGAAGGTCTGCAGGATGGAGAGATGTGTGTTAGGTGATGACCCATTTACTCAGGTGTCTAAATCTTCTGAAGATGTAACCATGGAAAACTCAGTTGACAAACAGATGAAGCCTTTGTTTTACATGATGAAATCACTTCAAAAGTTGCAAGAGGTAGCTATGATATTGAAGTTTTATGGCCTATTATATAAATTCAAATTAAGCCAGTGGAATGTTCCTGAGTCCACCCAGCTCTGATGGGTTTCTAACTCATGTTAGGGAAAGTAAAATGTGGTTGGGCATAGTGCTGACCTTATTATCTTTTCATATGCCAAGGTCAATAAACATATGAACTCTATCTGCCCATTGGATCGCTAGGTCTAATTAAATGCAGAGGAATCTTTACTTACAAAGTCAAATTTAAAAAATGTATTTATGGAATAACAAAATTAAGGGAACCATTGCCTTGTTTAATATGTTTCTATACAGCCACAACTAGTGCACAAAGCATTTCTGGACTTTGCTTAATTTTCATACCATGTTCGCTGTAACACACTGTCATCATAGTCTGTACCAGCAGCAGTGACCCACTCTATTAGTTTGTCATGTCCAGTATCATTGTTTGATACAGGACAATCTTAACACAACCCCATAGAAAGAAAAGAACGAAGTGATACATTTTGAAAGTGTTAAGAGATTTTACTTCCATCTTCTTATAACTTAGTAGCATAAATAAGTGAAGTTTAACACTTTCAAAAAGCTGAATCATTAAATGTTGTGAAATCGTTTTTTATAAAACAAATATTGCAGATGTTCTCTTAAAATAATGTAGGATGGCTTGGTTACATTTTATTTACTGTATTTTCAGAATGGAGAATTGTGTGATTTGAAGTTTGAGTTGAACAACGGTTGCTTTACAATTCACCGCTTGATGTTTGCCATCTGGAGCCCTGCCATGAAAACAATGCTCCACCTTCAGCAACCAACCTCAGGCCACATTCGTCTCAACTTTTCCCAGCATGCCGTGTTTGAACAGTTCATCAACTTCCTCTACACTGGATACTTGGCTGAACAGATCACAGACATTCCAGCTCTCCTGCTCCTAGCCTCTACATTCAAAGTAACAAAGTTTGGCTTATTAAATACTCAACCAATTATTCATTGTTTAAAGTTTTTACCACTTAAGTAATATTACATTATCAATTAGCAGAAAATGGTATTTAAAAGAATGTAAGTAAAGTAAAGTTTCCCTTTCAAACCTGACGGTCTATGGGGCAAGTGAAGTAGAGTTCACTTGTTTCTGTGACCTCGGCATATGAAGAGATAGTGTGGTCAGCACTATGCCCAGCCGCCTTTACTTTCCCTAACGTGAGTTAGGTACCCATTTGAGTTGGGTGGACTCAGGGACGGTCTACTGACTTGAACCCGGATTCGAACTCGAGACTTACGGGTTAGCAGTCCAGCTCTCTACCGCTAGACCACTCCGTCCCATTTAAAAGAATGTAGAGGGTATTAAAGCTAGAACTATTTTGTTGAATAGCTAAAATGAGCCCAGCTGGTGAAATATAGTTGCTTATTTTCCTTTGTTTTAAATCTTGTCTACTAGGTAACTTACTTGCTAGAATTGTGCATGGAGCAGCTGAAAGAAAATGTGAATGTGGACAATGTCATCTCCACTTTGTGCCTGGCTGAGAAGTTCCAACTGTCAGAGCTGCAGCTTCACTGTGTCAGCTTCCTACAGCACAACTTGCCGGAGGTGGGGCAGAAGCAAGAGCTGCGGGAACTCACTCCTGCCCAGATCAATCACTTTCTGGAGTCTGAACATGTCTCCACACTAAGCCCTGAAATAAAACTCTTCCTGATCATATCTTGGTTGACCGAGGACGTGTCAGACAGACAACAGTACCTGGTCTTGCTGCTGAAACACATCAACTGGTCAGTCGTGGCTAAAGACTTTCTGGAAGAAATCAGCCAAACAGAAAACTTCTTTACATCCAACCCATCGTCCCTGTATCTGCTGTTACAGACACTTCACTCCTCGTCCATTGGTCTGGGGCCCTATGAGCAGCAGTTTTCAGCGTTGAGAGATGAGTACAGCTACCTTCTGAGTAGTGTCGTCAGCAGCAGTGTTGTGCTGGGCTCTGGCAAGCCACAAGCCTTCAAGCCAGTTCATTTTACTTTTGTCAAACCTACATCTGACCACATAGCTACTGAAGGTCACAGTCATTCACCTACTGAAGGTCACAGTCATTCACCTACTGAAGGTCACAGTGATTCAGCCACTAAAGGTCACAGTGAGGCAGCTACTGAAGGTCGCAGTGAGGCAGCCACTAAAGGTCGCAGTGAAGCAGCTACTGAAGGTCGCAGTAAAGCAGCAGTCATGTCCTCAACATGTGTTGAGGAAATGGACCAGTGTCTTGGGAGCAGTACAATCCAGCCACTGTCAGATCAAACAGTAGGTCATGTGACCACGCCTGCCCCCACTCTTGCACTTATAAGAAAAATGACTGAAGACAATACCTCATACAAAAATTCATCCAAAGTATGTGTTGATAAAAGTGAAACAAATTTCACCCAATGCAGAATCCTGACACACTCAAATAAACCAAGGTCTACCCAGGGTAAAATCACAAATGTAAAGCAGCACAAAGCTCCAGTTAAACTTTATGAAAACAAAAAAGACAATTTTAGAAAGAAACTAGGGGAGGCTACTGCTACTGTAACAAGTGAAAATATTGCTGATGGATACGGTGAGGGCACAGAGAGGCATGGGAATAATGTGGAGGAACATGTGTGTGATTCTCCAGGTGAGTACACCAATACACCTTTGTGTGATTCTTTGTGGAAAATTCCATTCTTTAACATTAATAATTTTGTAAAATGTATTCAATTCAGGAAACGATATTCTGACATTAAGTTTTCATTACAGTTAATAATAAAGAAATTAATACTGACAGTTTATAAAAATATTCTTGGTGTCCTGATGAATTCCACAACTTTTAAGGGAGAATGTTATCACTTATAGCCTCTGTTTTTTACAGATTTAAAGGCAGAAAATCTTCTGACTCGCATCAAACAGGAAGTGTTGAATATAGAGGAGGAGAATGACCTTGACATTGATGAGGACATGAGAACAGTTGAACAAGAAAAGACGGAGGAGCTGATTGTAAATAAAGGTGCAGCTCTTTATTTGATGGGAAATTGGGTTCATTCTCTTTGCTTTTTTCCCAGGAACAGATATTGATTTAATATTGATAGAAATATTGTAAAGCATTTACATATAAGTAGCTTTTAAAAAATTGATTTTACTATCTTGTATTGTTATAAATTTTAATTATGGTAAGACACACTTTCAAGAAAAATGTTTTGTATTTTGTTGCATGACTTCAAATTCAGCAGTTCAAATAATAAAAACATTTTTTTAAAGTTAAAACAAGAGCAAAGAAATCTTCAACATTAAAAGATGTAAATAAAACCATGAGCAACAGAAAGAAGACCTCAAGAAAAGCAACTAAAAGAAAGAAAAGAAATCCAAAAGTGTCTTTTACTTGTTCTGATTGTGATTACACAGCCAGTAGTGATGCCTTGCTCAAACTTCACTTTAAGAAGGTCATTAACCCTTATATGTTATAATGTAAAACTAGATGTAAATTTATTGCATTATCTAGATATAAACTATCTTAATTAATGAGGTTGAAATTATTTCCATAATCTAAATGTAATTTGGTTAAAAAAGAAATACTCACAAAATATTAATTACTGCTTAAAAAATATCTCTCATCTCATTTGTCGATTTGAAACTTTGGTACTAGATGTGTGTTGATGAAAGAGCAGTCGCACATTGTCTAATCCACCTCATCATTTACCTCATGTTTTAGGCCCACAGCAGCAACTGTTTCTTCTCTTGCAGCTTGTGTTCATTTAAGTGCCAATGGAACAAAGAGTACCAAAACCACATGCGGCAAGTTCATTTTCCAGGTAACCTCACCATTTACTTTTTTAAATTTTCTCATTTATTTTCTGATGCATTATAATGGTGTTATTATTGTTAATTTATAGGTTTGTTTATTTTGTCACTGTTCTGAAGTATCTCTGTTTGATCAAATTGCTAGGACCACCATTTAGCTGTGGGCAGAATGGCTGTGACTACAAGACTGACAAATTTCCCCAGTTGGTTTCTCACCTCAGGGTCCACACTGACCACCGTCCATTTGCTTGCTCCATCTGTCTGGCAGCTTTTAGATCCAGGAGCAATCTTTATGTGCACTCAAAAACCCACTCTGGTTGGTAGTTGCAAGATTTATAATGCATAAAGGAATGATTCATTCACCTGATTAAGGCATTAATGGTTTCACTACATTATGTAATGATCCTCTTTCCTCCTATTTGTATCAGATATAATTTTGTAACTGTGTAACAAAGAAAAATAACCTCCATGTTAAAAGTAATTCACTAAAATATTTTTTAAAATTAGTTTGCATGACACATATTCAAAGTGTATTGCAGAAACAATTGAATGTTTTTATTCTGATATTTTTTCCTGATTTGGTTTTACATCCTAACTAGTTTTTACATGATTTTTTTTTTTACAATTTTAGCTGACAAAAAGTTTCAGTGTCCAGAATGCAGTCGGACATTCACTCTTAAAATCACATTAGACCAGCACATGGTGACACACAGTGACCTCCGACCTTATTTGTGTGACCTCTGTGGCTTCTCAACCAAATTCCAATCTCACCTCAGCTCCCATAAAAGAATACACACAGGTATTACTTTGAAAGCTTTTTTTTTAATCTAGAGGTTAAAATAAAAAAATTCAGCTTCTGCACCCGAGGAACTGTTATCTTAATATGATAATTTTTGAAGTCTTGAAGGTTGGTGTGGTTAAAAAAACCTACTGGGGAATGTTGTAAAACTTTTTGAGGTGACATCTACTTCAATTTGTTCCAGGTGGTGATGATTACAATTGTCATTTTTGCAGGTGTTTACCATTGTAATTTTTTCTAGGTGATATTTACCATTGTAATTTTTTCTAGGTGATATTTACCATTGTCTTGTTTCCAGGTGATGTTTACCATTGTAATTTTTTCCAGGTGATGTTTACCATTGAAATTTATTTCCAGGTGATGTTTACCATTGTCATTTTTTCCAGGTGATGTTTACCATTGAAATTTATTTCCAGGTGATGTTTACCATTGTCATTTTTTCCAGGTGATGTTTACCATTGTAATTTCTCTGCCTGCAAGTACTCGACCCCTAAACAGTCCCAGCTCAAGTCCCACATGCGCTCCCACCTGGGGATCCGCTCCCACGTGTGCAGCACCTGTGGCAAAGCTTTTGTTGAGAAGTCGCACCTGAACCGGCACGAGCGTATACACACCAGTGAGCGGCCCTTGACGTGTTCTCTGTGCCACTACACGTCAACACGTACAGACAAACTACGGGAACACGTCAAAAAACATCACAGCGAGCCCAAAGCTACATCTGGTGAAGTGAAGAGGGCTGGCAGGCAGAAAAACAAAAGCTCACAACAGGGAAATGCTGAGACACAGAGTCTGATAGAGGTTGTTCTGGTGAAAAATAACAAGAGGGCAAGAAAAGGTGATGTGTCTTCTAAAGATACTAATGTGAGCCCTGAAACTTTCTCTGTTGGTCATGGCCAGCCTGAGGTGGCCAATACAGGGCAGGGTAACCAGGCGAGTACTAGCAAAAATGAAAAAGAGTTGAGCACAGTGGACATTCTTGCCAAGATGGGGCTTATTCTAAGTAGTGGGGGCAGCGCCATGTTTGGTTACCATGGCAACTTGAATCTAAAAAGTGCCCCAGTAGAACAAGTATACCCAGTAGAGGATCTACACCCCACGTACCCCCAGGTGGAGAGTGCCCAGGGTGGCTATCACATGTCGCAGGTCAACTCCACGGTGTCCAGTACTGGGCAGCTGTTTAATGGGGCCAGTTCATCCAGTCAACCTGTTGGTTTAATCAACTATGGTCTGTCCAACAGCACAGAGAATCAACCACATCTACAGCAGACAGAAGAGTATGGGACCATAGGAGATTATCTCTACTCATGAAACATGAGCATTCATTCACATACATGTTCTCAGCTTTCACTTAGTATTTATATAATAAATAAATGTTTATTGAAAACTTATTAAAATGTTACATAATTGACACTTCACCAATGGTCTGTTACTGATTGATATTTGCCCCACCATGTATTACATAATTGACACATGACCCGCCATCTGTTACATGAAAAAATTATTGTCACTTGACCAAACATCTCATTCAAAAACAAATGTCACCCAAAACTTTGAATCAGATGTAAAGCGAACTCATTACACTTCACAAGACCATATGAACAGCAACAAAAATTATTTACTGTGTAAATCTTTTGTTATATTGTTTTAAATATTACAAACTAACACTTGGTCTCAGATCAGAACCGAGGGGGTGGGTTTGAAATAAAAATTTTGTTTATAAAAACTACAAGTCTATGTTTACACTTTCTCTCAAACTTGATATTTAAGCAAGTTGGGTGTATCATAGAAAGAAAGCTTATGCTTTATATTTTTCAGTGGAATCTAGGTATGTTTATTTCAATGTACAAATTTTTTTTCTTTTGACTAGTAGTTGATCCATTGCTGAACAATCTATTACATCCATTTTGTGGTTTTGTTGGAGAAATTGTTACTCATGCTGGTGTAATTATAACAAGCTGTTATTGAAATTGGTTTATTCACACAATTAAAAAGTTGCATCATTTCATTAGTCAGTCACACATTGCCCAATGTATAACATTCGAAGAGCGCCCCTCCCTCTCCCCCTAAAGTTAAGTGACAATATCTGTGAGATTCAGAGAGAAGAATAGTGACATTGACCAACCTATCACAAACAGCGTAAGAAATAAAGTTTAACATTGAATAATTAAATAAAAATATACACAAGTCAGTTTTGTATAGGATGTTTAAAATTAAAAACTTGATGTTTGCTATTTTTACTGTTGGTCATGAAATAATTTATTAAATCAAAGGCAGACTAACATGAAATAATACAAATCAATTTTTTAGTTAAAAGAACATAACAAAAGACAATGCACAGGTAAATATTACAATATCATACAAGAAAACTGAGTGACCAAGTTTCATTATTGCAGTTGGCTAGAGTACATTTATTATGTGTAGTGTTGATAGAGTGCTGTGGTACAACCTAGTGAACACGGCCACCTGATGGCTGGTGATGTAATCCTACAAGAGGTCTCTCATGACAGCATTACTTGGTCCCAGTCTATCTGTCTGGAGTACACCTCCATGTGGAGCCAGCGCTCGTAGTGAACTTTGAACTCTGGACTGAGCTCAATATTTTGGCCCAGCAGGCTGAGGATGTTGTTGTCCACAGGCCTGAAGTCTGGCTCCGCGCACCCCCCGCTGGTGTAGCGCCGGTTGTTAAATCTATCAACACAAGCTCGTAATGCACACTCCTCAGCCTGGAAGTCCCAAGGTCTGGCGTCCATATCTGGTTCAAACATCAACAAAATGGTTGGGATTACAAGTAGGGTCAGATTAATTTAATGGTCTGGTTTAAACATCAACAGAATGGTTTGGATTAAAAGTAGGGTCAGATTAATAGGGCCTGATTAAAAGTTGTAATAGTATGGACTGATAAAAGGGTTAACAGAATGGTCAGATTATACAAGTTACAATGTTAACAAGTAAAATTAAAAAAAAATCATACCATTGCCATAAGCCCAATCATCGCCTAGACGATGCCGAACTTTTTGATAAATAGCAGACATAGTTTTCATGTTAGATTTGCGCCACTGCCGACCTAAATACTTTGTCTGCATTTTTAATAATTTAAGAATATAGAGCTGCATCATGGGATGGCGGACTTTCAGGGCACGTTTCAAAATGGGGGCTGACTTGAACACAACAAGCATCTGAAGGTAAAGAGAATGTCTTGTTAGTCACCTAGTGTAGACTGACCCAGAGGGTAACAAGTTCTTTTTACTTTAGGTTTTAAAAAGTGAAGAGAAAAAAGTCTGACCATTGTTCGTGAGTGCTTCCACTTGGTCAACTTATTCAAGATGCGGAGCAGGTTGATACATGAGAAAATATTTCTCCAACAGTTGGGCTGGCTGTCACCACTCTCCTGGAGAACACAGCTATGTTAGGGGAAATGTCCTACAGGACTAGGTTAGGACATGCTACCACAAAACACAGGACACAATACTAGGACATTCTACCAGAAAAACAGAAAGATAGGACAAACTACAAACCACATGAATAAGTTATGCAACCACAGTAAGAAACTACAACCACAGTAAGAAACAAAACCACATGTAAATGTTATACAACCACAGTAAGAAACAAAACCATATGAAAATGTTATACAACCACAGTAAGAAACTACAACCACAGTAAGAAACATAAGCACATGAAAATGTTATACAACCACAGTAAGAAACTACAACCACAGTAAGAAACAAAACCACATGAAAATGTTATACAACCACAGTAAGAAACTACAACCACAGTAAGAAACTAAACCACATGAAAATGTTATACAACCACAGTAAGAAACTACAACCACAGTAAGAAACTAAACCACATGAAAATGTTATACAACTACATGAAAATATTCCTACTATATTTTCTGCTGTGAGCTCTGGCTGGTCACCTAAAACATTTTCTGGGAAATCCAGGGCTGGTATACTGGGGACAAAACATCAGGCTAATTATTTAATGAGAAAACAAATTTTAATGAGGCAAATTAATTAGATCTGAGTGGTCCTGTGATTAGTTTTAAATAAAAACAAATAAGTTGAAAACAGATAGGTGAGCAATGCTGTATTTTTCCAAGTGAACAACATGTTTGTGATTAATGGGCTGAACTAGTTTTGGCAAATGTTCAAATATGATAAGTTGTGCACATCGTTTTAACGTCCTGTGGCAAATTAATAAAACATTTCTAACTTCTTTAATGCTGGCACTACTTGTAATCAATCTGAATCTATGAGTTAAAATTGAAATCAAGAATAGAATACAAAGAAGAGTGCCCTACCTATTTTTGGCATTGACATAAGCTACAATATCTTGATTGAAGAACTTGAGCACTAGAGGAATACAGTTGGCAAAGACAAGGTGCTGGCTAGTGAACTCAAACTGGTAGATGTGGTTGAGCTTCAGGTGCTTGAGGAGGAGCAATAGCAGGCCAGAGATGGCCTTGACAATGATCTCCTTGTGTCTGTTCACATCAATTCCAAGTTTCATGGACTGCAGAACTGTGGTGCTGGGAATAGAGAAATCAATGCTTGTAAAGGATGTAACATGGACTGTAGAACAGGGGCTGGGATAGAGAAATCAATGCTTGTAAAGGATGTAACATGGACTGTAGAACAGGGGCTGGGAGAGAGAAATCAATGCTTGTAAAGAATGTAACATGGACTGTAGAACAGGGGCTGGGAGAGAGAAATCAATGCTTGTAAAGAATGTAACATGGACTGTAGAACAGGGGCTGGGAGAGAGAAATCAATGCTTGTAAAGAATGTAACATGGACTGTAGAACAGGGGCTGGGAGAGAGAAATCAATGCTTGTAAAGAATGTAACATGGACTGTAGAACAGGGGCTGGGATAGAGAAATCAATGCTTGTAAAGGATGTAACATGGACTGCAGAACTGTGGTGCTGGGATAGAGAAATCAATGCTTGTAAAGGATGTAACATGGACTGTAGAACAGGGGCTGGGAGAGAGAAATCAATGCTTGTAAAGGATGTAACATGGACTGTAGAACTGTGGTGCTGGGAATAGAGAAATCAATGCTTGTAAAGGATGTAGCATGGGCTGTAGAACTGTGGTGCTGGGATAGAGAAATCAATGCTTGTAAAGGATGTAACATGGACTGTAGAACAGGGGCTGGAATAGAGAAATCAATGCTTGTAAAGGATGTAACATGGACTGTAGAACAGGGGCTGGGATAGAGAAATCAATGCTTGTAAAGGATGTAACATGGGCTGGGATAGAGAAATCAATGCTTGTAAAGGATGTAACATGGACTGTAGAACAGGGGCTGGGATAGAGAAATCAATGCTTGTAAAGGATGTAACATGGGCTGTAGAACTGTGGTGCTGGGATAGAGAAATCAATGCTTGTAAAGGATGTAACAGGGGCTGGGATAGAGAAATCAATGCTTGTAAAGGATGTAACATGGACTGTAGAACAGGTGCTGGGATAGAGAAATCAATGCTTGTAAAGGATGTAACATGGACTGGGATAGAGAAATCAATGCTTGTAAAGGATGTAACATGGACTGTAGAACAGGTGCTGGGATAGAGAAATCAATGCTTGTAAAGGATGTAACATGGACTGGGATAGAGAAATCAATGCTTGTAAAGGATGTAACATGGACTGTAGAACAGGTGCTGGGATAGAGAAATCAATGCTTGTAAAGGATGTAACAGGGGCTGGGATAGAGAAATCAATGCTTGTAAAGGATGTAACATGGACTGTAGAACAGGTGCTGGGATAGAGAAATCAATGCTTGTAAAGGATGTAACATGGACTGGGATAGAGAAATCAATGCTTGTAAAGGATGTAACATGGACTGTAGAACAGATGCTGGGATAGAGAAATCAATGCTTGTAAAGGATGTAACATGGGCTGTAGAACAGGTGCTGGGATAGAGAAATCAATGCTTGTAAAGGATGTAACATGGACTGTAGAACAGGTGCTGGGATAGAGAAATCAATGCTTGTAAAGGATGTAACATGGACTGTACAACAGCGGCTGGGATAGAGAAATCAATGCTTGTATGATAGATGTAGCTTGCAAGTAGAGTTTCATGGAACTGTGGTGCTGTGAGTCCCTATATCAATCACAGGTAAGGCAGAGAAAATATTTGTATTTTAACTTACGGCATCTCGTCAGGTAAGACATCAGACAAAATATTGATGGACTCAGTCTTTGCCTTGGATGTAGGTGCAGCAGCCAACAACAGTTTCAGTAGAGCAATCTGGCCAATAAATATTTCATCGTGAAGACAAATTTGGACAACACATTTGTTATTTGGTATTTTATTTTTCATTATGTAAAATAATCAAATTATTATTTATTTAAAAAGGAACAAAACTTGCATGAATAAACTTTTTAGGCCATTTAAACAGGATGTAGCTTAAATTTTCTCACCATGTACTGTGGTAGATTAGACAACATGGCGTGGTAGAGGCGCTCAGCTGGTGTATTCTCCACCTCTGTCTCTGGCTGAAACAAAATACAGACCAGCAGTAAAAAATTGTGGTTTGCCATACAGCTAATGAAATACATGATTAATTTAAAAATTCAATAAAAGTGGTGCAAGTGTACACCTACCAGTGACAGTGGGTTCTTTGCTATCTCCTCTTCCCTCTTGATCTGAACCTCAGACAGTGAGATGTACAAGTGCTGTAGTTTGACAAAAAATGAATTTAGATAACGAACTGGTCAATACTTTCAGCTTACTGTCAATATTTCAGACTAATCACTAGATAAATAGTCAATAAATGTGCTATTAACCAACTAGTGTACTACGAGACAATCACCTACTGCTACAGATCAACCTAGAGTGAGGAAATACTTTACCTGCTTCAGTACTTTCACTCCCTCATGGATGGGGTGTGGCAGACCAGCGAGTGAGGAGTGGTCATTTTTAACTTCAAAGCCTACAAACTTTTGCCTGGTGTGATCTAGAAAGTTCTCTAAGTCTTTTAATCTGCCAATAAGTGCAAGAAGAAATGAGTCAAGTTTGAAGATATGAACAACAATTTTTTCCTGCTAACTGTGGTCAACTATTGATTCTGGGCACTGGTCGACAATAGTTTCTACAATTGTTAGATTATAGTTATGTTACTGTCATCAAGGGTGGTGTTAATGTAAGACAAACCTGACTTTAGGTTTCCAGGGTAAACTTCTATGTGATATAGTGGGCGTAGCAGGGCGGGGAGGTGTCGGAGGCGAGTCATCATCGCTGTTTGTTTTCAGGCCGTCCATCAAATCATCCTCCTCGTCTCTGGCCAGTCCAGCCTCGAAGGAGTCGTCCAGACTGCTCTGTTTGACCAAACTCTGAGATAAGTGGGCAAGACGGCAGACCAACAGAGGGTAGGGAGTCCAACCAACCAGCCAGTTCAGCAAGCCACGCAAGCAAGCAACAGAGAGAGGGACAGGGGAGAGAGAAGCCCATTTGTTATGCAGGCAGATTGATGCTAATCTCATGAATGGATGGAATGATATTACTTGGTGATAGCATCAACTAATGGAAGCAATGCATGGCACAATATGTAGACTGTATTAGAAAACAATGTTACAATGACAAGATTATTCACATGACAGGAAAAAATAAATGGATGTATAATGTAACTGATTATCTAAATGATTGCAAATTAGGGATTATAAGCGGGTTATAATTATAACATGCAGAAATGGTGATGGTAAAATGTGTGATATGAGTTAAAATTAAAAGGTGAGAAAATAATACAACAATGAGGTATGCTAACAATGAAATAAGGTAGAAAAAAAAAGGTTCACAGGATATTAACATGGGGAACCCAAGCGTTTCATGTCTACAGGAAGATTACATGCAGCAGTATAAGCAAGCATTCTATGTCAAATATTTGAAGAGAGAGAACATTTGCCTGTATGACCCCAACTAGATAACATGTTGACGCCATAAAATTACATTGTGTTAATCTCATCACTCAGAACTCTGTAATCATGAGGTAAAGACCTCTACACTATTGTCTTGAGGTAAAGACCTCTACACTATTGTCTTGAGGTAAAGACCTCTACACTATTGTCCTGAGGTAATAACTGGCCATATTATGACAACTTTAGTCACAATGTAATGTTTTAACATGCGTAAATTAAAATGAGAAAATCAATAAGAAAAGCATTCAGGATTAAACATGCTAGCTTCATGCCAAACAAATGGCTTAACTCAAACAGATCAAGATAGAAAGAGATCAAAGGAAATACAACATTCAAAACTCAGGAGGCCGACTGGTGGTTGGAACAAAATAATCAAGTAGAGGTTGGCATAAAACACAATGTGTCATTTAGTTAATTAGAAGTTGGCATAATAACAATGTGTCATTTAATCAAGTAGAAGGGGACATAAGGTTGGCATAAAACACAATGTGTCATTTAATCAAGTAGAAGGTTGGTATAAAAACACAATGTATACTTTAAGAATTTAAATTCCAGTTAAAACTAAAGAAAGTATTTTAGCACCGATAAAATGATAATTATACTAAGAGAGGGGATAACACACATAACAGGATGATTCCATAAAAATGGTGACAAGAAATTCCCAACAGTGACATAAAAACCAGGAATGGCTGCCAGGTATGTTGGATTAAAACAACCAAAAAATGGCTCAATGAAATAAAAAAAAACAATCATTGTTAGAAGTCAAGAGTAGGAACATCAACTAGCAAGGAATCAAAATTTCTGGTGTAAAAGGAAGACTATATTAAAAGAAAATAAATAAATTGAAATAGATGTGAAACAATTAACATTACTAAAAAAAACACTAATTTATACAAATAAAATGATGTTCGAGGAGTACATTTTAAAAAATGGGAATTCAAACTGTGAACACGGAAAAACAACCTATTCCATAGGCACTGGCCCATGAAGACCAAGTATCAAATAGCCTATGATATCTTGACAAAAACTTGATTTTAGTTAGCTAAAAGACTTTACAACTTGAGACTATTTTCTTCATAAAATCTTCCAGTGACTTAAAGCTCAGTAAAATATCTCATTTGATCTCAAAGTTGTTGACAAATACTGTAAAACTAGAGCAAAACATTTTTAAAAATTTAACTATGAACTATGCCAGGTTTTTCTTTTAAAAAAAACTGCATATACAACTAAAACCCTAAAAACAAAGTTACAAAAAGTGAAAAATTGACTGCAGTATTATCAAACTACAACCTTTGTTTGACACCTACAACCAGCTACCTTCACTACAAAGCAGGTTTTTACCATGGCAAAAGTGCACTACTAAACACAAAGTGCTGCACTACTAAACACAAAGTGCTGCACTAACTTCTGTGTCTATACAGGTGAAGTCAAGCTAAACATAAACCACAAGCCAAGCTTGTAGACCAACTATGTATATCATAATGTTTGTACAGTCTAGACCCACAGGGAGCCAACACCTGCAGAGAGCTACCCTTATTGAAGCTCACCCTTTTCCCAGCTCTGATACCCCTCCTGGGAACCTGGTGCTCGATGAGATCAGCAGCTGACGCAGGGGGTGATGCTGGCCTCATGGTCTCACACACAGTATACATATCCTCACTCAGTGGGGGAAGGTTGTGTTTTATACGCACTTCATTCTTCTTTTTCTCCAGCTCACGCAGACCACCCAGGGTTAACTGAATGGTGGGAACAAGAGCATGACCCATTAGTAAAGACCATCACATTAGATCAATAGAAATCATACTGAATCAACTTATATGCTTCATGTTTAAATTAAAAGCCTAATTAAAATATTTGAAAAAAAAAACCCACTATAGACTGAGATGGTAAGTTCAGCATACTGAATACAAGTACTATCCCAAAAGAATATAGTCTTCTTTATAAGCCTTAAATCCATACAACTTCCCTTAGTCTACACAGTTCTTATACAAATCAGGTGGGTAAAGTTAAATCACCCTTTCAGACCTGTTGGTCAATAGAGCCAAAGACCAGAACTCATGACTTTTGTGTCAGCAGATATGCACTCACCATTCCAATGTTTCTGTATTCACCATAAATCAGATAAACAGAAGAATGACACTTTATTTTGCACCATGCATTTTCTGGTCTGAAAGGATTTTGTTTCTACTTGAAATTACTTCACATACTTATAATGAGGGAAGAAATTACCAGAACAACTTTCCAAAGCAGTAGTAAAACTTTCTTCATGGGGTAGTGTGGGGCACTGCCACTACAGAACCTGGTCACCATGGTGAACAGCAGCACAGAGAGTGGGTCCTCACCAAACACAGGCTGGACTAAACAAAAATCACAACCAGTTAGCATGGAGTCAAATATTAAACACAAAAGTAAGACAGAAATTCTAATGACTACTAAATGTAGAGCACAATAGACACACATGGGACACTAGACATGTAGGACTGCTGACACTATGATGAGCTTACCTAATTCTTCCTTAAACATTTCTCTAGCCTCGACTAGTTTTTGTGAAACTGGATCATTCAAGTCTTTATCAATGTCAGCTGTTCTAGCAGTTTCCACCATGATGTAGAGAATGTTAAGAATAAATCTGGGGAATTCCAAAAAGTATTCAGCAACTAGTCAGTTTTTAAAACAAAACTTTGCAATGAAGCTGCAGATAGATATGTAGTAAGTACCCGCTTCTTGTAGATAACTAATTTGTGAGGTTACTCAAACTTTATGATTTCATTAATACAGAAGTTTAAAACACAGAATTAAATATCAGCCATTTTATTTTCAGCTGATTTAACAACTCTAAATATTTGTGATTACCTCAACTCTCGACTATCTGTGATAGAGACAGCAGGTTTTCTCAAAGCTAGAAGGGCTGAGTTACTGTTCCTGCCATGACAAGTCAATAACATTTTTAATAATTTAAAAAAAACTTTCTACTACTTTTAGCCAAATTTAAAAATGTGTTTTTTTTTCTATTTATGCCTATAACATGAGGTTGGAGATTGAATACTCACTCCACTTCCATGGCTAGCAGCTGTACGAGGGATGTGTACAGTCCAAGGTCCAAATACAGTAAAACACAGCGTCTGCTTACATCATACATGTGGTTTTGAGACTTACATTCACCAAAAACTCCTGAAATATAATTTGCCAGAAATCAGAACTCCAATGCTTAAATTAACTTTGGCAATAACGGCAACTGCTGATTATTTTATTTTTCAAAATCAAATAGTTAAATACGACAGAAGAAATTTGCCCAACCTTTTGGCTAACATACAAAACTACATATCTACCTTGTACAAGATACAACAGTCCTTGAATAGCTTTAACACGTTTGTCTCTTTCTGTCACCTCAAGGTCATCTTGCAGACCAACTACAAATCTGATCTGATCATCATAGGACAAAGACGTCCACTTTTCAAAACCTTCAAAACAAATTTAACAATTATTTTTCTAGGCTTTACAGTTATGTCTGTGAATGCCACAAGCTGAAGGAATGTATGAACTGATTTACCATGAGCTTTGGCTAGCTCCTCGAAGCAGGCTTGGTTTGAAGCAAATTCAGAATCTTCAGTGTAGCTGTACAGCTCTGCAATTAACATAACAGTTAGTGCTGATCATACTCAATTTAGGCCTACTGATTTATTCTTTATAATTTATCATATGTACTATTTTACTATCTATACCTGTGTGTTTATTAAAAATAAAATAACATGTATACTTGATTAAATATCATGTTGAAAAAAAAAATCACCTGCTGTTTCAAATTCATGTTTGTCTGCATCTGCATAGTTGAAATCGACCTTTTCTACCTCACTCATTACTGGATGGTGAAAGACATTAAAATCTAAAGGAAAGAAATTTTAAAAGCTTGTTACTAGATAATGAGAAACTGAAAATCATTAAAAACTAACAAAATTAATATGAAATAAATTAATAAAATATGCTCATATTTTATAAAGCATATGAATTGATTCAAGATAATAAGATTAATTAACAATAAGTCAATTGTGCTTACTAAGGCAAAAAGAAACATTTGTTTCCTAAGAAATACTTTACTTTTTAGTTTAGCATGAATTGAAAATTGGATGAACTATCCGGCCAAGCTAGATCTTAGTGATAGAACCAAGCAAATTTTATGTAAATTCACTTTAATTAGGTGTAATTAATGATATTTTCACATAATTTGCATGTTTTAGGTATTATTGTTTAAGAATCAACAACTTATTGATTTATATAAATTATATTCTTGTATGTAGTATGTAAGATAGTATTTTTAGAATTTTAGGAGATTGCAGGAAGTTTTAATCAAGAATTATTTGGGGTAGGTTAGTACAAAACCAGGGGAAATTTTTAAAGATGAGCGCTGTTTACTTTTAAACTAAACCCTCAAACCCTGACGACCCGCCCAAAGCACAACTGTTCAACCACATGGCACAGCTATTAAAAGTATTTAATTTGAGCCCCTTTGCAAAGGTATTTAGGTCATTGTGTTTTGCATCTTTTGCCTGCCAGATAGTGCTTGGGGGAAAAAATCTTTTCCAAGTAGTCTCTTTGTAACTTATTGCTGTTATATTACTTTTTTTTTAACTTATTATTATGACTATACTTAATACTACTATACTGAATAGATCTACTAACTAAAATACATAACACTCACTCACTAAACTTATTTTTTACTAATCTACTCTAAAGATTAAGCTAAAAGTAAAAATTGATTAAATTGCTATCGAAATCTTCTAGTGGTCTCTAGAATCTAGTCAACACTAGTCACTAGACTTGAAAAATAGAAAATTCTAATCAAATCAGATTTAAAATTTAATTAGCCTAGACTAATTTTTTTTAATTTTAGTTTTATTTTAGTAATTTATTAGTTGGATTAGCCTGACTCAGTGACTGACAGTGACACTGAACTAGGCAGTGACTAGGCTTACCTAAATCTGCACTTGTATCTGTAAATACAGATCCTCCTCCAAAAACCGGCATACAGTCTGCCGGAATTTAATAAGCAATTAGATTAAATAAAGTATGATTACACTATAGGCCCTAATAAATTGAACTGAATCAAAGATGATGATCTTCAATGGCATCATTCCACTGTATTTCCATTTTTAAGATTTTTAGTCTAAATTTAGACCAGATCTTATTAAAATCTAAAAAAATAGAGTCGCCGGACGAAGCAACAAAACAATACTTTAAAATATAAAACATTGCATTAACAATTAAATTATGTATGCTAATTAGTGAATATTTCAAATTATGAATTTATGTACGCTATTATTTTTTTTAATTTAATTTTCTTTTTCGAAAAATGCTTTTCTTTGCTTCCTTTTAGGCCTTCCTAAACCTAGCCTAGGCTAAATGGACTGGACCAAACATAACAAATCCAAAATTTTTATATCAACACCGGAAATATCCTACACTTCCTTTTACTTTTAACACTACAGGTATCAAAACATAACAAAACATATTTAAGTTAAATCTGTTGAAATTACTTGAATCTTACTATTTAAAATTGCTTGTTAATTATAAATGATAATTTTGATGTAAATCCAAGCTCCTTTTTTGTTTATTACTTTAATATTTCGTTTATGGATAGATGATTCTTCCTAAACTATATTATGGTCTTACCTCCGAACGTTAATTTCGTTCTCTATATATATTCTCTTAGGCCTTTTTCCTATTTATTTCTTGACGAACTAACTTGCGCCGTAAGCATACGCCACTATATAGTTGTTCTGTTTTTTACTTTTCTGTAATTCATAATTTGTGAATTCAACATTATCAATATGTTGCGACTGAAATATTTTGCTTTTAAACAAAAAAATCAGTAGCTCGAGAAGGACGATTTATGATTATCCTCACCCTCTTTTTCTCTCCCCCTGTGAAAGCAGCTGCCATTGACGACCATTTACTGATGACAATGAAAAGATCAAGTAGAATGTGTTATTACCTCCCCTTAGTTTCAAATCGTAAAAACTAAAATAACCCATTTATAGCTGTAACCAATTCGACTCAGTTGTAAGATTGTAAATATTTGACGTGAACCTCATCTCACCAGACTGACTGGTGGGGGTGAAGAGTGGTAAAGAGGGGGAGAAGCAGCGTGCGTTTATGTGGTGTTCTCGCATGGTCCCCATGAATAGAATTATAGAGTGAAGTTCCACGCACGGTAAACATACTGGTGAGGCTATCGCCTGTTTATTGCTTTGTATGATATTTGGATGTTTTATACGAAACTACCGATATCTGCTGTACACATGTCCATTTCTAAATATATCCAGGTCAAATTCTTTTGTTTTTTCCTTCTAGAAGACGAGTTTTTAAAACTCGAGGTATGACGTCGTAGGCGAATATAGTTACCCCTATGAAAAGCACTAGGTCCCAGATAAGACGAATAAAACCAACCAATCAAAGTTTTTTATAACTAGGTTAACTATAAATAGCTTCTACAAAATGTGCCGGACACTGTACATACGATAGATAAGGCTAATAAAGCAACCTGAGAGGTGAATAGGGGTGGCCGCAGGTTGGGTAACAATTAGGGTGGTTTCACCTCGCTGCGTAACCGACTTGAGCTAGACTAGCCTAGATCTAGATGCTCATCATTTCAAGCTAAGTCTGTAATCTATATAATTTCTAATTTTTTCTGTTTTATATTATTTCAATCATCTACTTCTTCTAAATCTAGTTTGTGTCTCTACATACAAGCATATCTAAGCAAATGTTACGTCTTGTAAGTGATTGTTACTGCCCTTTGTTATGATTATTATAGTTGCGTCCATTGAGTCATCACTGGGTCATCCGTAATGTGTAGTTAAAAAATTTAACATGTTTTTTAGGCACCTATTTGGTTTTGCAATCTATTAATTAATAATACAATCAACAACACATTTAAAAAGTGTGAAATTTATTTCTATTGAAATTGGATTGAAACGTATAAAATACAATCGTTACGCTAGCCGGTTCAGGTGGCCGCAGGGAAAAAAATATCACAAGTAGCACGTCGCTAAAACATGAATATCTCAAATTCTATGCGTAGGAATATAAAATGATTCATACATATTAGAGTAGAATGCCAGAGGAGTAATATAGTACTTTTGGTTTGTTTCTGTGTAAAACGGTTACTAAATATCGCCCGATGAAAGTCGGGAGATCAGATTTTTCTGCTGTGTGATCGGCTGTGGAACTTCACTCTATAGATTCTATGTTGTCACAGTTTTGCATGTTAGGCTAATAATGTTTAATTGTCAATTCTATACCCTATTCTCTCCTCAGTCTAGGCCTTCCCTTTTTTTTTAATACAAATTTTACCCATTGACTATGCCAGAGCGTTCCCAAGTATTTTCTCATGTAGAATGGAAGCATTCTAAATATTGTACATCTAGTATTGGGGTTAAACTTTATTTTAGCATACTTTATTTGCTGCTTCTTGCTCACCTCTGGAAAACCGTATTAACATGCAACTAAAATCAATCCATTCAAATTTTAAAATGCTCTGTCTGTATTATTGAAAGATCGCACCAAATGAAATATGGTTTAGGGCCTACAGTTCATATTTCCTGTGTAGGCCTAGTCACTTTTATTAATGCTGAAATCACATCCAGCTGGTTTGAACAGAAAAATTAAAGAATCCAGCATTTCTATGGCCAAATTGATTAGTTTCTTGAATATGCCTAATTGTTTTTTAAGATAAATTCAAAATAGCATATTACTATGGTTCTAACTCTAGCCCTTTAAAAATGCCATACATCAGTTTGTATTATATAATCTATAAAATTCTATATAATAATGGAGACCATAAAAAACACCAAGCTGTAAGCTTTAAAGCAAATATTTTCAGTGGCAGCATTGGTACCGTCAAATTCACAAATTATGAATAAAAGAAAAGTTTCAAATAAAACAACTAAATAGCGGCATATGATACGCCGCGGGTTGGCTCGTCAACTATATAATCCATCTACATTCCACATCCATTAACTCATTGATTGGTAACAAAGCAGAAATTTCTCCTGCGCCAAACTATGCTCTAGCCTCTTAGTTTGGCTTAGTGTTTAGATTAATTAAATTAATCTAAACACTAAGCCAGTGTGGGTGCAAATCGAAAATTTGAGGGGGGGGGTGCAAATCGAAAGTTTTGTCCCCGGGTGACGGGGAGGGTCGCTACGCCTCTGGAAGAAGTTTGTCGATTTAAAATAGGTGGTGCCCGCCACCCTACCGATATTTTAGAATGTGCTCTAGAGTAAAAAAAAGGTTGGGAACCCCTGATCTAAAATACGTTATTCAAATGAAACTTACATCTCTTAAGCTTGGTAATCTAGCTATCGATATAGCCTAATTTATCTATCGGTATTTTAACCCGCCTAAATCTACAGTTTCTCTCTGATTCTATTTTATTTCGCAATCTCAAATTAATATGGAAATCCTTGCTAAAATTGACTATGAGGACTAGACTAACCCGCCCCACCTCTTACTAACGGTGGCTCTTTTGACCTCACCTTGACCCCAAGTACGTGTTCGGTACTGCTTGTGGGGGGGGGGGGGGAATGACGTCACAGTCAATTTCAAATAGCTGTTCCTGCAATACGTATGCTTCGTAGGCCTACAGATAAAAAAAATACTAAACTCAACGTGATTACGACCGTGTCTTGTTTGTGGAAGAAAAAATACGTACAGACTGTTTTTAAATTTTTAATAAGGGGTCTTCCATAAATAACGTCACACTCGTAAGATATTGTAACGTCATATTTTTGCATTAAAAAAAAATAATGTTAGAAACAACTGCATTTTAGCCGCTATTGCGAGTCTTAGAAAACTGTTGTAAAACATAGAAATTGAATAAGATACCCTATGTTGGTCGACCTCAGTCAATATTTTAGAAAAAATCGATGTTTAAAAAAAAATTCAAATTCCATTCGAGGGGGGGGGGGTGGCGGCTGAGGTGTGATGTCATTATAGGGGGGGGTCTGGATTTTGTAGGAGAGAGGGGAGGTAAATATCGTCAAAAAAACCTGGATGACCCTAACAATTTACAGCTATTCCAAAAAAAAACATAAATATCGATGTGTCTTGGCTATCAAAATGATTAACTTTGGTTCACACATCAGACCATTTCTTATCTTAGCTAACCTGGTCCATTTCATTTTTCCATCACATGAACCTAAAACGTTCATATTATAACTAATCTTAATCTAGGGTCTTTACAGTTGAAGACAAATATTTTTACCAATCCAATCTTTAAATGAATATAGGGTATTAGGCCCCCTATTTAAAATTGAAAACAGGAGTACATCTAGAATCTACACCAGATTAGTAGGCCTACAGTTTAAATTAGCTTAATGGTAAAATAAAACTTAATAGCTACTTTTGTTACATTGTAATTTTTAAAAAGTTGTTTATAAGGTAAACATTAAATTGCAATTAGACAAGACTTTCAATGTTATTTTAGAGTAACATTAACTTCTGTATTTAGAATATTAACTTCATAAAACAATTTATTAATACAGTAACAGTATGAAGCTGCTTAACCGCGATAAAAAGTAGATAAAGCATATTGAGTTATTATCCGAAAAAAATTTCCTAATTTTTTTTCCTGGTCTGGTCACATCCCTGAATTTAATTTATTGTAAGGCTGCCACAAAGCAATCTTGAACATAATTTACATAATTTTTTTGTCCATGTTAACAAAAATGATCTAAAGCAAATCAGTTAAATGTCCATTTTTTAAGATTAACATTTAACTTCACATTTTTAATCTTAAGTCCAAACTGATTTAGGGTCTGCAATAATTCAGTAGCCCACTTTATTGCTTGCAAGGAAATTCGTGTTATTCTCTGGCAAGCCATCCAATGTAATTTTTATCACATGCCAATAGTGGAATCATTCTTCTGAATTACAAAAAACCGTCTTGCTTCATTTTTTTTTAATTCGTGAAAATATCAAATTCGATCATATTTAAAAAGAAGAGCAGGGCTTTTTTCGTTTAAGTGTTAACTTACACATGATGATAAAATAAGCTTGTTTTTAGTAGTATCCTGTTTGTAAAATCAAAATTGTTCTTTTTTGGAATTTGAAATAGTTAGAAATGGAGGAAAATACAATCATCCCACTTTGTGCACTTCAATCTAGTAATTAGATGACAATACGACGTAAACTATGGATTTTGGATTAGTTTGTTCACATACTAGAAAAAAGACTATTTAGGCTATTATATATGTAGATCTAGTCCTAGATGCTGGCTAAATTTATAAAACTATAGGTCTGCTAATTTTAATCATATCTATTGTGTATAATGTATATCATTTTTCTTGAGAATTTATTCTTTTCTTAGCAAAGTAGCATTACACGTTTCCTCTTATATGCTTCTCATCCTTTTTTTGGTACTATGACTTCCTACTTTTAAACTCAAGGGGTAGATATGTCTGAAGTAACTCTTCTGTGTTCATAATTTCTTGGGTTGTTGCCCTTGCAGGGCAGGAATTAAGCATCTGTTATTTTATTGATTTTGTAAACTTGTGTATAGTAGTTTGGCTGACTTGTGTGCAAATTGCTTTTTTAAGTGCTTTTGCATTTTTAGCATAGTTTTGATTTCTGTTTAATTTGTATTTAATATACCCTTTATTCTTTTATTTTCAGATTAGTGCCTGAATTCTAGGATACTAATTACGTAAGCATAATTGTTTCAACATTTTAAATATTTCCGGATCTTCCTTTCCTTTACAAGTTAACATTTACATTCCTAGCTTATATTTACTTTATTTTCCCTCTGCATATATATATCTTATCTCAAATAAATTTTACAATTTTGTTTAAATATATCTAAATGCAGTCAATTTATTTTAATTTTAAATTGGTCCTGATTAAAAAATGTTGCAAAATAATTGTGTTCATACTAAAAATGTTAAGTGGGTTTGCAAGGTCTTTTCATTCTAGCTTTAATTAGTTTGACATTTTTAACATAGTCCTGAGTTTGTCAATCTGTGTTAGACTCATGTTGTGTGAATTTAACTTCAGGTATTATTTAAAATTTGTTGCAAAAATATATCCTCATCACCCTTTCCCATTAGTCTTTATTTCAACTTTTAGGTAATAAGTATCAACATTAGACATTCTGTTTGGATTTAGTTGTTTTAATGCTATGGATCAGCAGCCACTCAATGTTGCAGTGGTTGTTCAACTGATCCAACAGTTCTTCTTACTTGTTTCTTAATGCATATTGCTTGATAAATAGAGGAAGAGGGGTGACATGTTATGAGTCCATGTTCTAATGCATTACACACTAAACTCATCATTTGTGCATGTTTCTCTATATTCAATAATTCATAACGTTTGTGCAAGCCATACAAATCCATTGTAAAGTGATATTTCAACTGGTTTAAGGGCTTACTTCACAAACTCTTGACTAAAGACATGGTTTACACATACTGTCAAGATACAGTGGTATATTCACAAATAGACCCCTATAGTTATCTTCACACTTCAAACACAACTTTTTTTTTGTTTGTTTTTTCTTGTTGTTCTTTTTATTGAAAGCCTTTCTACATAATGTTAAAATATCACATTACAGACATTTTACAACGACCATTTTTATTCAACCCCCAATTAGGCTACAACTTCTGATGCATATAGATTTCTTTGTTAGTGATTACTGCTAGTAAAATTTGGAAAACTCCGAAAACTGACAAAAACAAAATGGATGTTGTCAGTAATGAGACTAAGCTTGGGTTAAAATTTAATTTTTGCCTAAACTAAAAATAATTAACAAATTTTAATGCTGTATTTGACATGTCTGGGTTATCATGTAAACTATAGGGTTTGTTTATGAATTTTGTATTGCCAACATTTAACATTTGCCTCAGGATCACAGATTTATATGTACACATTATTAAGCCAATCTTTATTGTTAAAAAAAATTCAACATCAACAATGGTGTAGCATTATATTACAGTTACCTTGTGTGCAAATCAACAATAAATTAATAGATTTAGTTAACAGTTTGTTGGGCCCCATCCTTGAGGCTTGTGTTTTCAATAGGATAGAGCTGATTTTCGTTGCACAGTTGAAGACTTTTTGTTGACATGTTAGATGTACAGGTAGTGGTAGTTGATCCAGGCCAGTTCTCAACATTGTCTTCACTATTTTCCCACTGTCCGTGCATGGCTGGTGAGTCACTCCTGTCTGGCAGCATGCACAGCTTGTCCACCTCCAGCACCTGGTATGCTAAAGCTGCACACTTTACTTCTGTCTTCTCTTGGTCAGTGGACAATGGTCCATTTAGTTTGTTTCTTTTACTTCTCCGGAAAACCATACGGCAAGTTAGTATTTGATAGTAGGCTTTCCGGAACTGGTCGTTCATAAAACCGTAAAGCAGAGGGTTGATGGCGCTGCCCAGAAACACAGAGGTCTGGCAGAACATGTGAAATGTTTTACTCAACATTTTACTCCAGTCTATGACGCTGGAGATGGTGCATGGGAAATAACTCAGCACAAACACCACAAATATGGCTATCATCATTCTCGTTAGTCTCATCTCACGTCTGTGGTTGTTGTGCCTGAAGAGAGTGTTGGATGTGGAGGCCATATGACGCAATCGCTGGTGGGATGCGCGTGTTGTGACGTAAATAGCCGTGTAGTAGTAGATGATGAGGCCACACGGGATGGCAGCACGGACTATCAGGAGGAAAATTTTGAAGGTCTGGCTGGAATTGTCGAGTCCCAAGTTACAGCTGGAGAGCATAGGGATGTAACCAAATTGACCCCAGGCCTGCAAGAGAAAAGTTTGATATGTAAGCATCGCTGCTTTATGCTACAGAAACACGTTGTTAATATTGTTAGTTGTGTTGCGATAGATTTTATTTATTTATTTTAGCTTACCCCAAAAATAGCAGGCTGTAAGAATATAATGGGAACGATCCAGGTTGCCGCCAGCATTATTGCCATATTTCTTGGTCTGAATAGTTTTTTATAGCGGCTCACGTTCACTACCAGCTTGTACCTGTTCCATGCGATCAGTGTTATCGTCATAATTGTTGTACCTGTAGGAAGACAATTGGATTATTTCCTGGGTACATAGCACTTTGATTCACTTTAAAAGTAACGTGACCGTTTATAGTTGGGTGGCGAAATTGCACTTTACGATGGCTCTGTCTAGTGAGTCTCGGTCATTTTGTACCGACCCCGCAGTCCTAGTCTTCCTATTGACCGGTCCAGTTCATGCAATGATTGTGTTGTCGCTACTGTGACTCTAGTAATGTTCACTCACCCGTGAGCGTGTATCCGAGAAATCCAATGAATCTGCAAATGTCCATGTTGAACTGCCAGCCGTTGAAGACGTATGTGTACATGTTGACCGGCAGCACTACCGACACGAACATCAGGTCACAGATACTCAGGTTGGCCACAAACATATTGGACACTGTCTGAAGTTTCTTGGTTTGGATGACTGCTAACGTCACCAGTATGTTGCCTGGAAAACAATACGTGTTTAATTAACTTTATAATTAGGTCGATTCTGATTGTTTATATTCACCTAGCCACCCATTCTGATTGTTTATATTCACCTTACCAGCCACCCCACTCTCCCCACGTCTTACTGGATTAAACGAAAGCCGATACGGATGGCTTATTTTTTCTACTCCACCGACCAGTTTTTTCACTCACTGCCGTGCGATATGTGTATGGTATCGCGCTACTGTTTCCCTTGATTACCGTGTAAGAGGCCATTCTAACGGCACTAAATCTAGCGTAGCAGGGCGTTTAGATAACCTAACGATCCAATTAGGTAACAAGTCCTATCGTTGATCATGAATGAAGCTGGTGAATGGTGCTATTTATAGCCGGAGACGTGCACGTTTGCATGTGGAGGTGTCGGTGAATGCTTTGTTTGTTCCCACTAGATAGCTGGGATGATGAGACGAGGTGATGCCGCCCTAAGTTTTTAGCCGTGGTGTGTTGAGCGCATTTTGTTTTATAACAGCTATTAAGTGTCTACATGAAGATGCCAGCGCTAGAAAACTTAACATCTGCTAACAAGCTCTGAACGACGTCACGAGTGACATTTGATGGGATCTGTATATAGAAATCACTTGCACTGATGCTACCTGCTATGTTAACATTAACGCCTTCTCAAGGCAACAGTGGCCACCGTGACATAACCAATCAAACAAGTGAAAACTCTACTCACCAACGCTCCCTAATGCAATAATGACTGCCATCATAGTAATAATGGCTACTATAGCGGTCGTCTCTCCTGGTCGCACAAAGACTTCTAAAGTGTCGGTACTAGTCTCCATTGTATCCATTTAGTTTACAAGTCCACTGAACTGTTTCACATTACACCACAAGTCGTGTTTGTAAGCTCCTGTGTGAACATACCATTATTTAACAACAGAGTTGTGCTGATGAAAATATTTAGTCTAGCAAGTATTTACTTTGATCTTGGGTAGACGATTAATCGCGGGCTGGAAGCGCTAGACATGTTAAGTCAACGAATGAGCGGGCACGCAGAGAATCCTTGCTGTGGCTTCTGCCGTGGTGGCTCCACTCGCGTGTTGGTTGGGCGGCCCGTCCTTTTCTTCAATCAGCCTACCCTACTGTCATTCACCAGCGTGTTTTACTTACTGCGCTCATATTCTCATATTCACGGTGTACGAGACCCCTCGCTAGTTATAATTAAATCTAGTAAATGAACTGTTTGTTAAAACATTTATGAAAGTCACACCTAATATATATTTTATGTTTGATTGTGATAAGTCTCTGCGGTCCCAAGTGATGTTAACCTTATGCCCGATTTCTATGAGGGCTCATAATTCATGACTGATTTAATGAGACTGATGGGATCTTTAATAAAGTTTTTTTTTATTCGCTTAGTACATGGTTTTTATGAAAAAAAATCTTCCACTAATCAGCTACGCCTTTGGGGGGAGGGGTGCGGCTTTCATCGGCGCACTTTGACCTTTTGACCCGTATGGTGCTGTAGGTATGAGCTGGTCAGTGCATTGGCATTTTTTAATGACCACCTTGACCCTGCAGTGCTCTCCGTGTTAATGTGTAAAGGGTTGTCTTGACCTGGTTGTATAAATAAAACTGTCCCTCGAGCTATTTGAGTGCTCCCTCCCGTGCAGGGCTGGGATGATTTTACTGACAAGCTTATCTTTAGGGCTAGCTTCATTGCTTGTGTCTCGTCTCTCCCACCCCGACCTCGCTGTACACCTCAGTCCAATTTTTTTTCTCTACTTTTTTTGCAGGCAGTAACAATGGCAAAGTCCAAGAATCACACTAATCACAACCAGAGTAAGATCTTTTTTTTTTTTAATAGTCTGCTGTTCTATACTATTATAATCGTATCCACGCATTTATTAAAATGTCATTCTGTGTGTTATTGTCCATTGTTGTCTTTAACTTTAAGAAAATATATTGTTCCATTACCTGTAAGTAAAAAAGTATATGTGAGGTTACTGAGATGCTGTCCCTTTCCTACATGATGCAAACACTTATTGACTTGAACCTAGTGAGAGTCAAAATATATGACTGATTTGATGAGACTGATAGGAAGGTGGAAGATGTTCTCTTGGTTTAGCCCCCTTCTCCTGTGGTGGCCGGCTGGGCTTCTAGTTTCTTTGTATATTTGTTTGCAGATAAAAAACACCACCGCAATGGCATTCACAGGCCCAAGTCCTACAGATATCCCTCCATGAAGGGGGTGAGTATTGTTTAGAATCTTGGCGATCGCTCAGTAAAAATACAGTGCAATTTGTTTTGACAGGGGAGAGAAGCCGGAGTGGTGTGTGACTATGTGAGATTATCTTTTTCTGAAATGTTAAAGTAGTTAAATGGTGTTTGCTTTTTTGTTTGTTTCAGGTTGATCCCAAGTTTTTGAAAAATCTGAAGTTTTCTAGAAAACACAACAAAAAGGCTGTTGCTGCTAAATAAATGTCTGTTAATAACTGCCTGTAGTGTTGTGTCAGTTCATTAAAGTGAATGAGAAGTGTTGCTCGCTTTATCTTGTTCCTTAATTGTTGTCTAATTCATGGTTAGTGGGGAATTTGTATAGACCTGGTACATTTTTCTGTACAAATACAATAATCTTTGAAGGCAGATTGTCCTTGACCACACTAGCGTGCTTTAAGCGGTTCGTCGCTTGGACAATTCGTGTTCATTCTATATTTGGCAATGGCCGTGTAAACAAGATTTGCTGTCGGTCCCCGTGGGATCGTGAGTAATGCCTGTACTTAGATTGTAATCACCCGCTCTTTGAGGTGCCGTCGTGGTCTGAACATGTGATGCGTGTCGTCAGGTCATCAACTAGTGACAGCTGTAGGTAGGAGCAGACGTACGGGTAAACTGTTTTCATCTGTTCTGGGCAGCTTGTAAATAAGCGCGGGAGTTGATCGTCAGCACGAGTTTCCACCAAAAAGCGGTCAGTTGTGTGTCAACATCCTGATTTGCTAATCGTGTTTGGAAGTTGACGTTTGTTAGATGGAACACACGAAGGTAGCACTAGGGCTTCTCAAGTCGGGCGTTGGTCAGATTTTGAAGATAAATCATGCGAAGTACAACCTGGCCTCCAACACATTGGCTGGACGTACGGTAGTTTATTACAACATTGATTTGTATTATTTAATTATTAAGTATTAAAAAGTATTTGTGTTGTTACCACATTGTGATAGAAGAGTATACGGTCTTAGGTTATGTAGTAATGACCTCAGGTCTGGATTTTGTCGTAAAGGTTTGAGATCAATAAATAACTTGTAGTTCTATGTCAATCAGCTTTTAAAAAGCGCCAATACTTGGACGTACAAATATCTGTGAGATTAGTCTGAGCATTGGTAATAACGATGTGCGATATAGACCTGCAAAAATGTAGTTTTGTTTTATCTAATTATAATAATCTGATGATGTGGTTTGTGTAAGCATGTATCTATCGTAATATTTGTATTCCGTTGTTTTTGTTTAGTTCACTACCAGTAATCTAACAAGTAAGATCCCTGCTCCATTATTGTGGCATTATCAAAGACATAGTACAAGACATACTCCAACTTGCCGTTGGAAGGGTGGTGTACAGTTATCGGCTGAGTGTTTTCTCAGTGTAGTGATTGGTCCATGAAGAGGTGCCTGGAAGAAACTGTCCATGATTAACAGATGCTCATTGCACCAGAAAGAAAAAAAACAGCGCACTATAATTTATACTTATAATGATTTAGACTTTGTGCGACCTATCCGGAGAAGCTAGATGAGTAATTCCCGAATATTGGTCAAGAAACTTACTTAGAATAGTAAGAGCAGCGATACCTTTCAAATAGCATGGGATATTCATTTGGGCGATCAGCTGCTGATAGGCATATATGATTCATTCTGATAAGCACTCGAATTATCTAATGTAAACAATATCGGCACTGCTTCTCGCATCTTACTTGCGCTGTATGTAAACAGACTGGCAAAGTCATCAGGTCGTCCAGGTTTGGTTAAAGCAAACATTCATTCGGGAGATTCACTTTACTCCTGTTAAGGAAACTAATAGGCTGGGCATAGTGCTGACCACTACCCTCGTATGTCGAGCTCACTGAAATAGATGAACTCTACTTCATCTGCACAATGTCTTGGGCACGAATTTGAAGGGATGATAATGACTTAAAGTATCGACTTACAATTTACACATTTACAATTAAATACGAAAAAGTAGTAAATAAAACATGTGTTATGAAAACTAGTTGAATGTTTCTTTTCAAACCCAACTTAGTACACTAGTAGAATGTCGTCTAACCAGCTGGGTGTGACGTATGCATTAATTAAAGTGAGTAAAAATTGTCATTGTAAAATGTCTGTAATGTGATGTTTTGACCTATGTACAAAGGCTTTCAATAAAAAGAACAAGTAGCCTAATGAAAAATTTCTTTAGATATAAATATAAAAAAAAGGTCTAAATCGCTCTAAAATAACCTTAATAAATTTTTATTAACATCGCTATTATTTCTCGTTAATTATATAAGAGCAATTTGCTTTTGTTTAGCGAATTTAAAAAGCTTAAATTAACAATTTCGTTCATCATCATGTTCTATGAACAACAGCTCTAACTAAACCAGGTCTCCTAGGAATTTAATTTTAAACGATTATTTTTCAACACAATAAAACATTTCGCCAGTCGAAGATTTCTTTTTACACGAATCTCTTCAATTATCGAGCAGTATAGAAAAGGGTAACTGCCATCAAATCGGAAGACTAAAAATGGATGTTATAGCCTACAGCATAACCCTGCTCACTGCACCAGAAACTGGAGTTACCCCACCAACGTTGTACTGGATAACTAGGCAATCCATCGCCCCACAATGCCATTTGTTAGCTGAACGGATAATTTCCCTATTCCCAAAGTGGAGTTTTAAAACGACGGCATCTAACCAGAGCTTAACCGTGTTGGACACCTAGACGCAGAGGCGTAGCGAGGTACAGACGGAAAATGCTTTTTGCCAGTTCCATTTATAATCAATTAAAGTAAAATAGTATTTTAAGTACAAATGGACAATTATTACAAGGGGCTGGGGTGACTCCATGACGTAAACGTGCTAACTATAGAGAAAACATTTCTACGGCCAAATGTATTATGAACAGACTATAGATAAACATCGTTACTATTAAGTCTGCAGTGGTTGAAGCTTATACACATACATGTATGCATATATTTAAATTATAGTCCTATGTAGGCTTATATATATATATATATATATATATATATATATATATATATATATATATATATATATATATATATATATATAAGTATATACATATTTAATTTGTTTCTTGGGGGGGGGGGGTTGTGACACCACGAAGTGCCGCACCGGGTGACACCCAACCTAGTGACGCCACTGCCAAGACGCCCTGCACGTTTCAATCTAATCGTTTCCGTAGCACGGGATTATGTCGGGCCGGAACTGTAGGTCTGATGCTCTTATTTCAACATTACCGGAAGTTGTGATCCTAGCGCCGGAAGGCGTGTCAAGGACTCGGTAGACGTGTATCCATGGTAACGTCAACACATTCTCGAAATGCTGATCATTTTTGGCTTGTTTTCGTGGAACTCTTTGTAATAACTTATTGTGACGATACTTTAAAACAAAAAAATTCCTGGTCTAAAAAAAACACTTGTCCGCGTTAGGGAAACAGTGTAGTATAAGCCCGTATTATATTTTTATAAACCTGTATTTTTATAATTGAAATCACACGTGGTATAAAGATTTTAAAAATCTCCTGCTGATAAAAATACAACGTGGGCTATCAGCGTCCCATCTATGAGATCCGTGCCTTGTTTTGTTTTATAATTGGAGCAACACGAGACAACAACGGCCCGTTTATGTGGCAACAATCCCAGCTTTGATTTCACAACAGTTCTCTAGGCCAGGCAGAGAAGATGCTGCTGTTAGAGAAATATAATTCTGGAAGCTTCGATTTACTTTTTCATGTGCAGGTAGAATTTTAAAATTTTCTGCTGTGTGTGTGTGTTTGGGGGGGGGGGGGGGCACATCACCAGAGTAT